GTTTACCGCCACAAACAAGCCGGTTTCCCTGCCCGCTTGCGAGCGTCTAAAAGCCGTTTTCACGGCTATCCAGAGAGTTCACAAAAGAGCATAAAAGCCTTAAGTGTAATAAATGTGCCCACAAGCATGTGCTCACATACACACTCAAGCACCTTATGCCCAGGGTCTCTCACAGAGCCCATTCTCACGGAGCGTGCACTTCCGCTCCAGCAGCAGAGAACATAAGCACGCCCACGAGCCCGTGCGCGTGTCCCCCCTCTGCCCGCTCTGTCACACGGCCCATAAAACTCCTCTCTGAGTGTAAGTCCCGTTGCCACCCACATTATGAGCGTGCCCACACACAGTGTCCAGCCCGCGATGTGCAGCTATCAGGGCAAAATCGCCATTCAACCGCTTACGAAGCGTGGGAAGCCATCCCTGGCATCTCCCCGTGGGTTTAAGCATAATAAAAGAATGGTTATCGATTACAGTTTCGTCGCCGCCCGCCACGCTCGCGCGTGCGGCTCGAATCCACTGTCAGCCGCCCGCTATGAACACGCTTCGCTTAGAAATAGCCAAGCTACTGCAGAAGGGCGCTATAGAGAGAGTCCCACCATCTATGACCGAGTCGGGGTTTTACGGCCGTTATTTTCTGGTTCCCAAGAAAGACGGCGGCCTCAGGCCGATCTTAGATCTCAGGGCTTTGAACAAAGCGCTCATGAAGAGACCGTTCAAAATGCTCACAGTCAGGAAACTCCTCGCGCACGTCCGCCAGGGGGACTGGTTCATCTCTCTAGACCTGAAAGACACCTATTTTCAGATCCAGATAAACCCTCATCACAGGCCATTCCTACGTTTCGCCTTCGAGGGCCAAGTTTACCAGTATGCCGTTCTCCCGTTCGGCTATCCTTAGCACCCCGTACGTTCACGAAGTGCATGGATACAGCGCTCGCCCCCCTGCGAAGTCAGGGGCTGCGCATACTGAATTATCTGGACGACTGGCTGATGCTAGCAGATTCCCAGACGGAGCTGCTGTCGCACCGCACAGTTCTCCTCAACCATCTGGAAGCGCTGGGACTCTCTGTCAACTGGACAAAGAGCTCTCTCCAGCCCAGTCAAACTATTTCGTTCCTTGGAATAGATTTGAACTCTATCACTATGACGGCTCGCTTATCCACACAGCGCGCGCGCCGTGTTCAGCGCCTAGCCGCCTCGTTCAGATGGGTACCCATACATCCCTGAAATCGCTTCAGAGGATGCTGGGTCATATGGCTTCAGCCTCCGCTGTGCTACAGCTGGGTCTTCTGCACATGCGCCCCCTTCAACTCTGGTTATAGAGCCGCGTATCCCACCACGAGTGGACGACGGGCCGCCAGATGATCAGGATTACTCAGACACGTATCACTGCACTGCAGCCATGGGCAGTAAGCGAGTGGTTTCAGAGGGGCGTTACCATGGGAACCTTCTCTCGCCGGAAAGTTATCTCGACAGACGCATCCAACTCGGGTTGGGGAGCGGTTTGCGAGGGCTCACCGGCCGCCGGCCAGTGGTCGAGCCACGAGAGTTCCCTACACATAAACTGTCTGTATATGATCGCGGTCGAGAACGCGCTGCTATGCTTCCTCCCGCGCATAAACGGTCACCACGTCCTGATTCGCTCCGACAATATGGCCGTGGTATCATACATCAACCGTCAGGGCGGCGTCAGATCCAAGAATCTCTTTCATCTGACACGCCGCATCCTATTGTGGTCCCAGAGTCACCTGCTCTCGCTCAGAGCGACGCACGTGCCGGGCCATCTGAGCGACGGTCCAGACAGCCTGTCCAGGAACCTGGTCTCCCCCGGAGAATGGTCCCTGCACACTCAAACAGTCCAAACACTGTGGCGCCTATTCGGCAGAGCGGAGATAGATCTTTTCGCTTCAGAAGAGAACGCTCACTGCCCAATATTCTTTTCAAAGAGCGAGGACGCGCTAGCCCAGGATTGGCCCCGCCGCCCGCTCTATGCTTTTCCCCCGATTTCTCTGCTACCGCAGGTCATTCAGAGAATCAGGGACTCACGCCACTCGGTGCTCCTCATAGCCCCGCGCTGGGAGAATCAGATTGGTTCCCGGAGCTAACGCGGCTGTCACAGACAGCCCCGTGGCCCATTCCAATCAGAGCAGATCTCCTCACTCAAGCCCGCGGCTCGATCTGGCATCCCCATCCACAGCGCTGGGCGCTTCATGCATGGGTGACCAACGACTACGCGTCGAATTGCCAGAAGGGGTTTTGAACACGATCAAACACGCCAGAGCGGATTCTACCAGAAAGCTCTATGCTGCAAAATGGTCTGTGTTCTCCAAATGGTGCACCGACAAGAATTTGGACCCACGGACGTGCGAGGTTTCGTCTTTGCTAGTGTTCCTTCAGGAGATGCTGGATAAAGGCAGGTCCCCATCCACTCTTAAGGTTTACGTGGCAGCCGTCGCGGCGTTCGTTGAACCCCGGCGCGCCCAGTCTCTGGGCAAAGACGAGCTAATCATCCGCTTCCTCAGGGGAGCCAGAAGGATGAACCCCCCTCGCCCCCTACGGTGCCGGTCTGGGATCTTTCTATAGTTCTAGAAGCTCTGAAAGCCCCACCGTTTGAACCACTTGAGTCCGTGGAACTAAAATACCTCTCGTTAAAAACCGTTCTTCTGACGGCTCTCGCTTCAGTAAAACGTGTGGGGGACATTCACGCGCTGTCTTCGAGCGCCGCGTGCCTAGAGTTTGGACCGAGTGACTCCATAGTCATTCTAAAGCCTAGACACGGTTATGTTCCAAAAGCGATTGGTACCCCTTTCAGGGCGCAAGTGATCTCTCTATCGGCGCTGCCTGCATCCGATAGCGAACGAGACGCTGACCGCCTCTGCCCGGTTCGGGCTATCAGAGTGCACACTACACGCGTTGCCGCGTTCAGACGCTCGGAGCAGCTGTTGTGTCGTTCGGTGGCCGCACCAAGGGACTAGCCGCCTCGAAACAGACCCTAGCCAGGTGGATAGTAGACGCGATTGCCTCTGCTTATGCCGCTAAAGACCTGCCTCGCCCTCTGGGCATCAGGGCTCATTCCACCAGAGGCATGGCCTCGTCGTGGGCATGGTCCTGCGGGATTTCCATCCATGACATTGTGTGGCTGCGGGATGGGCCTCCCCCTCCACTTTTGTCAGGTTTTATAACTTGGAAGTTCCAGCCTTACAGGCTAAAATTCTGGCGGTCTAGTACTCACAGCCCTCCTATAGAAGCCGCACTATCGGGAGTTCCATCACAACCGGCTCACCCCTTGTGTTCCCCTATGTGCTTATGCATTAGCCTACACATCACGGCCCGCCTTCGCCGGCCGCCTTGGGCGTTTTGCACTAGATGATAACGGCCGCTATGCTGGCCGCCGTATTATCTTCATCCACTTTAGATTCCCCCGGTGTTTCCCCTGGGATGCTTAGTGGTTACTTAGCGCGCACGGCGTTGACCAGGTGTTCCCGTAGCGTAAGCTAGCTTACGCAATACGAGAGAACCTCTCGTAAGAGAACGAATCGGTTACCTAACGTAACCTCGGTTCTCTCTAGATGAGGGAACGAGTATTGCGTTCCCGGCCGTGCTTGCGCCACTAGCGTTTCGCTTCATGCTACAGAATCAACGAACGAGCTGGGAGAGCGACCTTTATACACTGTAGCCACGCCCCTTTTGGCGGGCTGTGACGCAGTGAGCGAGCGCCGTCCGCTCATTGGCCGCGGACTCAGCGCCGCTCTCCCATAGGTTCGTGCATTCTCTCTGAGCGAACCAATGAGCCGCTAGCTAGCCCGCTCATGGTCTGCCTCAGAGGAGACTGCGTTGACAATGATTACAAAATTATGGAATAATTTTTTGGCTTCAACTTCTCAGCAAAGATGAATCTTTCCCGTAGCGTAAGCTAGCTTACGCAATACTCGTTCCCTCATCTAGAGAGAACCGAGGTTACGTTAGGTAACCGATTCGTTTTGAGTTAACCCAGGATACACCGGTGTGTAATATAACGTCACTTGAATCAACCCTATATCATCCCACACCACTAACGGTACTAGTTCTATCTCTATCAAAAATAGTCTTGTTTATTAACATATTACTTAACAATCCCGTCATTTTTAGACAAAAATTACAGAAGTCATGAAGAAGGAGGATGTAACCTGTACATAACACACAACAGACCTCAAAAAACAGTAAAAGCCATTTAGCCACAGGCCATGCTAACATGAGCTAACTCACATTACAAGCTCATAAGCACATATAACTCCTCTCTAAACTCGCGCAGACCACCTCAACACACACAAGCAGGTACCTTTAAGAGCTTCCAGAAGAGTGTCTATCTCCATGTCTGTGTTGTTGTCCCTGTCTCCAACTGAAAATCGAGAGCTGATGGCTGCTGTTGAGCTCAGTGAAGAAGAGGACAGGGGAAACATTTCAATATGGCGGCGACTGCGACGTCACTGCCGGTGTTGTAGATCAGTTCAAGCTGTTGCGCAATAGTATGCCTGGACGTCAAAATCCAGTCAGCTGCCTACCTAAACATCATTTATAGCCGTAAGGATGCTGTGTTTTTGTGGATGTTGCAAAAACACAGTAAGGTGCCAAGGTATCGTTTTGGAGCACAATAGGGGCGTTTCGAGCAAAGAGTATGTCCATAAATGCTGTAACAGCATTAACAGTCTTATGTCTGGTGCAGTTTGACTGGATTGGCTTCTTATAATCATAATTTAACGCTCATCTCCCAATGTATTTAAAAACAAGAATGCAATTATCTCGCACTGGAATTTGAATTTACTTTAAAATTGTCAAATTTACTTTTTACTATATCAGCCCATCAAAATATCACACAGTGACAATTTATCAGGCAATTTATGCTTTATAACTTTTTAAATGTTAATGAAAAATCATTGTTAAGTCTTGCCATATGGTCTGACCAATCGATTGAAATGTGATGTTTTTGATAATAGATCAATTCATATTAAATATATAAAGTCTTAATATTAAATGCATATTTATTTATTACATTTCTGACATACACACTTCTGTATAAAAGGACAATAATACATAATAGAAGACATTCAGAAAGACAGAAAAACACACTGATACAAACTTAAACATCGCTGGTGCATCTCTTGACACAGAGATAACATGTATAATAGTCTCCTGAGTTTCCAGTTAAATAAATCTCCTCACTGATCCCAGACCAGTGACGGGAGGCTGGAAACTGGTCACACATATAATTAAGCACATTGTGCTAAATGAACGTCAAAACACACATCAAAACTCTTACAACACACTCTCCCCTTTATGTTTGTATTTTCACATAAAAAGTCTACAAACAATTTAAAAGCTTGCGATTACACAAACTTAAAATGATTTTAGAATGTAAAAAAAAAGGGTACATTGATCATACTGGGTCCAAAGAGTTTGTTTTGTTAAACTAATCTTATTACCATTTGTAACTTATCTTTCATTTTACTTTCTCCAAACTCAGTATTTGTTTTTTTAAAAAAAGTGCAATTATCTGCAAACTGTACATCTGTGTATTGTTTTACGGTTTTGTGACAATGTTGTTTTTATTTATATTATACTGTCATGATGTACAAACCTTTCTAATTGGCAGTATTTTATTTTAAATGATCACTTTAATTTAATCCCACTATGGCAAAAGTTCCCAATAACAAAGCACAGGATAAAACAACCGAATCGGTTCTCTGTAGTTGACCAGACAGAATATTGCTAAAAAATATATTTTAACACTTAGACCTTTTGGGCAGCAGGTTATCCTAAAAGGACATTCTGGCACATATTAAACATCAAATTCATTATGTCCATCAGAATAGGCTTGTAACATCAAAATAAAGGACACCTGACTTAATTAGAATTCTCACAAAAGGGCTTTGTGATATTAAATATATATAAAAATGCAACCCCAAAGAAAAAATGACAACATCCGACTCCTTTCTAATCTCACTAACAAGTCATCTTCAATGTAAACAGTGTGAACATCCACCATTAAGGCTGTGCCTAAACTGAATGTACATCTTATAACGGCTGACAGGCTAATTCTCTTTGGTTGTTTCTGCATGCTACATTCATTTTTGTGGCTTGAAAACAAGGCGTTATCTCATGCTATTAAGTGGCAGAATGCACAAACAAATTGGTGCAGCCACTTAAGTACAAGAATCAGATAAAGTGTACTTAAGCACAAATGCTCCAATTTTGTAATACTAGACATGATGATAAACTAGATGCTGAAAAATGGTACAACACAGTTGTAAACAAATAGCTCTGAATCCATATTTTTGGATTTGCTGAAAACAGCTTTGCCAACGAGTCTCTCATATTCTATCAGGAACATTCAGATGTGATAACCCACACTCGATGCATTTGGTTGCGTCTCTGTCTCTCTCCAGACAACTCCGCTGGCTCATGAAGCTCATACTGGGCCTAATGGACCAAATGTAGCTTGCTTCTGGCATTGCTCGTCTTCAATGACAACAATAAAAACCACTCTGATCCAAGAAGCAGGCAGAGACTCTTCCTTATGATGTTGAAATGCAGATGAGGCTCATTTCTCATGTGGAAGTCGGACATGCCGCACCACTTTTTTCTCATAAACAGCCCTCATGGTCTTCTCGATCTGTTTGAGGAACACCTGTGGTATTCTTCCACAAAGGGTGTTAACTGTGTCTAGGAACTTAGTCTGAAGAGGGTAAAACAAAGACTGGAACATGTTCTCCTCAAAGGGGTACTGAAAGAGAAAATAAAATACAAGTTGAGGAACTACCTTGGTATAATTGTTGAAGCACAATGAGCAAGGTCCACATTTCATATCTGACTGAATTCTGAACAGCAGAGGGGCCCATGTGACTCAACCATACAAAAGGCTTCCTCGTGGACAGACCATTCTATTAGCCTTCAAGGAGAGATTCAAGTAAACTGCACTCTGAATGCACATTTCTATTTATTCTCATATGATTCAACACCCTCAGGATTTGTTTTGTTAGCACTGAAGAATTAGTGGCCTAAGCAAGCAAAGACAAATAGATTATACTTCTTAATCTTAAAATCATAATCTTTGTCATTTTTCGTGGAGTAAATATATACTGTGTGTGTGTGTGTGTGTGTGTGTGTGTGTGTGTGTATATGTATATAATATGACATTTGGGGAAAATGTCATATTGCGATTATTGAGGTCAATATTACAATAGCGATATAATAAACAAATGGTTTTAGGAGTCAAATAGCTTGGTTCTCAACTCAAGTAAAATGCACACAAAGATTAGGGATAATGCTGAAATATGTATTTCTCAACTCAAACTAGAGTGTTTTCAAATGAAAAAAATAGTTTTTACAAAATTAAAAAGTGACATCTTTGCATTACTGCAAACTTGTTATTGTCTCAATAGTACAATATTATAAAATAAATGTCATATTTACAGGTAGGACATATACAGAAATTGAAATTTACAGAAAATGAAAAGTTATCAAACAGTCTGCACAGCATAAATTATAAATGAAATATAGACTGATCCTTATTAAAGCTACAAAATTTATTTAGTCAAGAGCAATGAGTAATTTTCTCTGTTCCCTTTGTTTTTTGATTAACTTTACTGACAGAAAGCTTTATTGACTGCTGTCCCTTTAAGACCAGCCGCTGCTGATCTCACGCGCGACTCATTCTCTCAAAACTCTTCCCGTTCGTCATATGACTCCTCTAATGTTATGAAGATACTGGGAAATTAATACTTTTTTTATTTAGCATGGATGCATTAAATTGCTCAAAAGTGACTTCTTACAATAGACTTCTATTTAAAATAAATATTTTGAACTGAATATTCAAAGAATCCTGATTTAAAAAAATCTTTTACCATTTCCATAAAATATTAATCAATTATTAATCAGCAAATATTAAACCGTTTTCAACATTGATGATAATAAGAAATGTTTTGTGACCACCAAATCAGCATATTAGAATCATTTCTGAAGGATCACTGTAGCAATTGCAACTGAATATTGATTCAGCTTTTGCCATCACATGAATAATTACATTGAAGAATGTATAAAAATAGACAAGGTTTTTTTATAATAAGAATATTTTGCAATAACATGCTTTTTATTGTATTTTTGATGTAGCCAGGATGAGCATAAGATACTCCTTTTAAAAAAACATCTAAGTGAGTCAACATTTTTGAATGGTAGTGTACATATATAATTCATCAATCTGACAGCCATTCTATTAGTTCTATCACATAAACGTCTCCTGAAATTGTCTCACCTCACGTATGGCATCGTAAACCACTCTAAATGCGGGCTGCTTGTCGTCATGGTACACTCCACGGTTACCATGAAGAATTGACACTCCCTCCTCTTCACCAGCTTTGCAATTGCTTCCATACATGCAGTGATCTGGCCTGTAGTTCCACTGGCACGGAAATACGTACAGACACTCTGTAGACACAAAGAAAAATATTTTATCCAAACTGCAAATAGCATAGCTACGCAGCACTTGCGCAGAGAATCTTCATTTGTCTTCTATTTGTTGATGTTTGTAGTTGTGCTAGTCTTTTGGACCTATACCATTACAGTTGTCAGACAAGCATTACCCTTGCCAAAATATCTCATCAATTTAGACACTTTAATTACTGCACCTGTCAGTATCTGTGACGCCTGTTCCAGTCAAGAGATGTGTTAATCTACACAAAAGGGTCTTATCTCTATAAAACCCAGATAAAACGACAACATTCAGGAGGGCGAGGAGGAAAGAGAGTTAAAACATTTATTTTTTGTCTGGGAAATGGAACGGTGCACAAGAAACAACAATCACAGTTGGAGAGTTTAGTTGTCATGTACATGATAAAAACCCTCAAGGCTTCACAAAGAAGAATAACAGCTTTTCCACTTGGAAACAACACAATTAAAAACTAGTGCTGTAACAAAATAGAGTGCAAATCAACAAAAATAAAGAAAGTAGACAGGTTTATATGAGAGTTTAAATGATGCCCCGAATACCTTTCCCTTAGTTTTTTTCTGTGCCAGTGTAACGTACAGTGATGGAATCATATAATACTTATTAAAACCAGAGTAATACAGAGGTATTTTGATATTTATATTTACCATAGTATGTACCGGCTAAAATATATAGTATTATCACCTTACATGCCTAAAGACATGGTAAAACCAAATTATTTTGACATGCACCATGGCATTTACAAAATAATGCAAGATACTACTTTAAAGATATAATTAATAAATGTGACTTTGAAGCATACTATAACTGTAGTACTAAAAACAAGTTATCTATACCTCTGTATTTTAATAAATACTTTAACCCTTTGATGCGCTAGCTATGTACTGTATACCCCTTCTAATGCACAACATGGGTCTAAAAAGACCCATATTCATTTCCTATGTTATTTAATGAATGGCTTGGCATTTGTTTGTTTGACCTTTTGAAATCATTCACTTTATTTGAGCATTTAATATTTCACAATCTATTAATTTCATAATTTTGGAATATTCCGAATATCTTGTTTTCAATTATCACAAATTCGTATTTTAATATTTCCTAGGTTTTGTGTTAATACATCAAGTTTACACACATGGGTCTAAAATGACCTGTCTATATGCAAGCGTGATAAAACAAAAGAATAAAGAAAACTTTTTGTTAAAATAGCCAATGTCACAGTTGTTTAGATCAACACATTTACTGTAACACTTGAAATATGTATATTGGCCACTTTGTCACACATAACGCACATATAACCGATAACACTGAAATTGAACTGTAGTGCAGTGCAACTGTAGGGGGATCTCCCGCTATGTAGAAATACAGAGATGTAGAAATACAAAAACCGTGTTTGTTTATAAAGTAAGAAAGGAAAAATACATATAATGATTTGTGGAAATCAAAAACAAGATACTTAATAAATGATAAAAATACATTTATTTCAAATATTATAAAACAAGGTATTTTGATATACCATTGTATTTACAACATACTTCAATGGTACATGTCCATAAAAACAAAATTCTTTTTTGCTTGTGTCGTCTAATCTTACTCATCATAATCAAGTATTTGTGCAAGCGTATCTTTGTACCTGGATTGTAGTGGAAGATGATGTTGAGGAGGTCTTGGTCTCCCCATGTGATGTGGTTCTTGTATTTCTGATAGAGAGGGTGTAGCAGATTTTCCCACGACAGACCGCTGGCGATCATGCTGTTCTGTAAAATCAATAGTGGCAGGTTATTTTCCTCAACAGTGAGTCTGGCAGACACTTTTCAGACAGCTGTTGATATGGAAATTTTTTTCAGAAGAAGAAATGTTCTTTTTGTCCTCCCAGACAGCCTTGAAAATGTGCTTGGGTTGGAAATTACAGTTCTAGCTGAGTTACAGAAATATGCTAATCCAGACTGCTGTCACCCACTCGCGCTCTCTCAACGGATGGCAATCAGTAGACTTCCATCACTGCCTACTAAAAACAGCCTGAGGAGGTTAAAAGGGTTTAAATCTGCAAAGAAACCTCAGAAAATATGTGAACACCAAAGCCCAGTACCAAGAGGAATAAACTATATAAGGAAAACACTGGCAATATCTAGTAATAACCTAGCACTCTATGAAATCTAAAATGTTTGCGTTAATTATTTTAGGTTTGTAATACGTGTATAAATCAGAATGTATTTAACAGACATGCACATATATTCAAATTCTGGCTGATACCAATAAGCTGACAATCATTTTCAAGTTATAGTAGAAAACTGATAAATGCCAGATATTTAAGTTTTTTTATGTTAAATTCAAAATAAACAACTAAAAACTTAAATTATTCATTTTAAATGCAATAATTGAAGAGAATTTAGGCATCACATTATAATGTACAGAATAAAAAGTGGATATCGATTCGCCAAAGATTACATTTGAAATTAGTGCTTTTAAAGGGATAATCCACTTTTTTTTTTTCTTTTTTTTGGGGGGGGGAAATTGGCTCATTTTACAACTCCCCCAGAGTTAAACAGTTGGGTTTTTTTACCATTTTCGAATCCCTTCAGCCGATTTTCTGATATTTAGATGAATATCGGTAACCAGACAGTTTCTGGTCCCATTGACTTCCATAATAGGAATACTATGGAAGTCAATGGGACCAGAAACTGTCTGGTTACTGATATTCTTCTAAATATCAGAAAATCGACTGAATGTATTCGAAAATGGTAAAACTCAAATGTTTAACTCTGGGGGAGTTGTAAAATGAGCCTACTTCCAAAAAAAGTGGAGTATCCCTTTAAAGATTACCTTAGCTTTGCTGTCAATAAAAAAAAAAAAAATCTCAAATATAAAATGAAGACTGGTATGGAACCGAGTTATATTCATTTCTAGAATGTGGACCACTGATATTTCACCATAAGCAGAGCTACAAATTGACCAATGTCAAGTCAGTTGTATTGTTCCTTACCCTGAACAGAGTGCTACGAATCCGCGTGAGGTTCATTAGCATGACCCCTGAATTGACCCCTGTGACTCCATAAAAAGGGTGCCTTGCGAAGCGACTATACCAGCCGATCTTGGGGATCTCGTGCTCTGGGGCCATGGCAGCTAGCTGAGTGCTGTTGAAAGCCTTCAGAAACTTCCAGATGTCATCCATAGGGCGGAGAAACAGAACATCTGTGTCCACGTACAACAGCGAGTCCACGTCCTTTAGGATTACCTGATATCAGAAGAAATACCTGGTTACAGTCTGTGTGGTGAGATGGAAAACACAAACAAATGAACAAAAAAAAACTTAAGCAGCAGGAACCTACAGGAAGAAACAGCCTCTGGGCAGCACATGGCTTGAAGAGTTTCTTCCATTCATCTGCATTCCCCACAGAGAAGGTGATTGGATATATGCTGTAGTGAAACCTGGAGGACACCGTCTGAGGCCACACACTGAACTGTGAGAAGAAATTGAAAGAATCACTGAATAGCAATATCAGCAGTGTGAGAAGAAACATGTACCAATCGTTCAAAAGAGCAAAGTTTTGTAAAATTTGTGGTTTATAGAATGTAATTTCGAAGCCCTGAAGAGATCTACCCATAGTGGTATACCTTGTTTTAACTAAGTAGGACATGGCATGTTTTACCCCACAGTTTCACAGACAAGGCTTAAGCCTAGTCCTAGACTAAAATGCATGTTTGAGCGATTTTAACTGAAAGCAACTTGCTATGGCATATCTTAAAATATGTCAGAGCCACTGTTTTGGTAATGTTTTTTTTTTTTTTAAAGAACATTTATAAAAGCTACTTAAATGTCCTAATTGAACTAAAGCCCAATCCTGGCTTAATCTAAAGCCCTGTCTGTGAAACCAGGCTTTAATATCTTAAGGATCAATTTGCCCACTATCAGCTTTGGCACAAACCCATGTCATTTATTTTTGAATGCTTTTATACTGCATTTTTTACATTTATGATTAGAGATAAAGAAAAAAACCCTGAGGGAGATGTATGACCCCTTTGGTTCATGCAAGTTTGGAGGTGACAACCCAATTTTTTTTTTTTTTTTAAATGCCAACAAAAAGATACTTTTTATTATTATTATTACCATAAAATGCATTAAAATCATTTATTGCACTGATAGCCGTGGATTATCCCTTACTTATTATTAGCCATAATTCCACCAAGGGATCTTAAACCTAGGGATGGGTATCGTTAAGGTTTTATCGGTATTACTACTCTTACCGATACCGCTTATCGATCCGGTACTTTAACGGTATTCTTATCGGTTCTTTTTGGTGTTTTTTATTTATTTTTATTTTTTTTAAGAATTAAGAACATAATTAAACTTTATATTTTGAAATGTAAAATATAAAAAGCAAAACGAAGAAAAATATATTTTTGTTATGCAGCAATGTGCAGGCTTTTTTTGTTTATACAAAAAGGACACATAAGAAAAAAAACAAGTACAAACACAAGAATACAATTAATCAAAGGTACAAATTATATACAAAGTGCTTTAATTTCAGGAAGGTCTACTAGCATATCTTGTCAGGTAATTGTTTCTGTCTGAAAAGAAACCTATTAATCAAATATAAAATAGCACTGTAGTTTATCATAGATAGAATAATGCTTATTAAATCTAAAGTTACTCATTCAAAGGCTGTGAGTGATTTTCTCTGCCTTTTGTTGTTTGATTTGCATTAATGGCTGAATCGTCAGCAGGTTTAGGCTATTAGACTGCTGCCCCTTTAAGACCGAGTGCAGATAATGGGGACTGATGCACCATCATTTTCTCCCTATTATTTACGTCCGTTTAAGACATACTTGTGTTTAAGTGAATAAACTGTGTTTAAGTGAATCTCAGAGCTGGTCATTTTGACATTTGTATGTATATTTGATAGTTAAGGACGCACAAAGCCCAAGTATATAGGTTACTTTTCTTGTCTCGTTGCAGTCCGTTTCGGAGCGTGCACCGCCTTGTGAACAGCGTCTCTTGCGCAGGTTTTTGTGTTTTTAATAGCTATTTTCTTGATCTTGCAACAGTAGAAGACAGCACTTTGAAACAATCGCCGATCGTGCTGATTCTGACGGTTACGTTTGGGTTTTAGGAAGAACTGACAGCGCTCCGCAGTGCTGTGAAGTAAAGGAAGTTAAGCTGGACAGATCGTTTCGTTTTTTAACGGTTTTATCTCAAATATCTTCTTTTTATAATCTTTGGAAGCCGAAATACAAAATATATTAGAATAATACCCCAGATCTAAAGTGTAACCACGTTGGATGTTTAGTTCTGCCGTGTTGCGCGTGCTGTGGCTTTGCGTGAGAGATCGCTCTCTCTCTCTTCTGAACTGCGAATTGCAAATTTGCATCACAGACATATGGTTTAATTAAAATATAGTTTATATATAGAAATGGCTGGTGATATAAAGATGTTCGAGATAACGTCTTTATAGGAATAATAAATAGTAGCCCAACTTGCGTGTATTTACTTAATTTCTCCAGTACCGACAGCAGAACCGGTAACGTCCGAGCTTATCGATACAGCGGTCTTTCAAAATTCAGTACCGGGGCCCGTTTAATACCGGGTTTCGGTACCCATCCCTACTTAAACCTGACAGTATTTTATTGTAAATTCGACTGTGTACATTTATTTAGATGCATGCCAGCAACAAAAGTTATGAAAGGCTTATAAATGAATTTTTTGGATTTTATCATTCTCATTTAGCTTCGTATTTTCCAGCCGCCCAGAAAAGACCTTCAACCCATTTTTGAGTCATAACAAATCAGTTAAGAACCACTGGTTTATAATATCCTGCTGATGGCCAAATAACTACTGCTGAAAAGGCTGCAGAAAAACAGAGGAAATCTTTTGAATAACAAACATGACATTGCATTCCTTCTCTATCCCTCTTCAAAGCCGTCAGATCCTTTATCTTCAGCAGTATGCGCAGGAATAGATCAAGATCAGCTCAAGGCCAGAGGGCACCTCTCAAAAAGCATCAACTGTCTAAATGTAGAAAACAATGCAGTGCCATTTTCAATAACAGTCCCTTTGTGGTGAGAAACATTGTAAACGATTAGGACTGTAGAGAAAGACAACTCTACCAGAAACCAAATAATGTGTTAATGGTAAAGAGATCGATAGAGGCATGAGGTTTCTCACATTACCCTCCTCACCAGATTGGCTGTCAGGGTTATCCTGACATTGTCTGAGGGTTACCACAAAACCACTAGTACAATACAATTGACAGTCACAATTCTGTCAAAGGTCGGTTTAAATACACTGAGAAATCTTAGGTAACAAACTGTATACCTTACTAAGGGCGTGAAACACAATCATGATTATAATAATTACTATAAAATAAACATGATATATGTTTGGAGGTTTGGAAAAGGTTAATTACCCCCGAATTAAGCAATAATTATAGTGAGTTTGACTAAGCAAATCCCTGGACAAATTATGAATATTACCAAAATAATAAATAATAAACTGAATTGAAATGGTCAAACAAAATACACCGCATCATTTAATATATATATATACAGTATATATATATAAACAGTAATCAATTGTTCTCAGAACAAATATTCACAGCCCTATTAGTTATGTTGGAGTTGGCATATTACATTTAGAGATTTAAATTGCAAGGAAAAGAATCAGAGTGAAGCAATAGTCCCAAAACGTGTGCCGAATTTTTCCGAGCTGCATAGTTAGGGGATGAAACTTTGTCTGAAAGTCAGTTATCCATTGCAATGCTTTCCAGAGAGTAAAGATATGCCTTAGATAAGTAAAGATACTCAAACCTCTTGAAAATAAACGTCTGATGAAAAAAACCCGACATATTTTAGGTCACCAGTCAGCTAGACATTTCAAACAAATAAAATAAAACCTAATATAGCCACAACAAAGATGAAATAATCATGGGACATGCTCTCACCCCTTTTTCAAATTGTTCGGCCAGGTCCTCCTCTGCAAAGATGTGAAATTTGATCTTCTTAATGCTGAAGAGCAGTGCTGACTTCACCATGTTGAGCGTTTCATCTAGACGGTTCCCACAAGCCACCACTGCCAGGTGCATGACATCCTCTGCTCGTGTGACCTTTGACACAAGGTTCCCTACTTCACTCTTCTGCCTAGAGGTAAAGAAAAAAAATGGTTAAACCCATACGAACCATGACATCAAAAACATCTGGTACAAATCAGCTGGGTCAAACCATGAGACAACATGGTCATGAAATACTCATTCTGTACACGGTTCCTCTGGCACATGGAATGACTCAAGGGTAAACAATTCTGAGTCAGAGTCAGATCTGCAACCAACTTGTTCAGAGAGCACACAAGGGCAAGCACATTTAAAAAAAAAAGAGTGAGAAGAATGCATTTGGGCTTACAAATGCGAGACGAAGGTCGGATTCACCATAGTTAGCCTATTATAAGTGTTTATATTTTAGACCTAGCGGGATGGTTTTCGCATGAAATTGCGTACATGCATCACGCATCCGAGTGGGTCTTGTCAATAGGGCTGTGAAACGATTAATCGCGATTAATCGCATCTGAAATAAAAGTTTGTGTTTACATTAAATATGTGTGTGTAATGTGTAGCCTATAATTATTTTGTATATATAAAAACACACATATGCATGTATATATTTAAGAAAAACGTGTTATTAATATAGCAAATATTTATTTTTATGTATATTAATTTTGTATAAATATATATAAATTATACACATGCAAATATTTTTTAAATATATACATGCATGTATGTATTTATATATACAAAATATTTACACACACACATATATACACAAACTTTTATTTTAGATGCGATTAATCGCGATTAATCGTTTTACAGCCCTACTTGTCAAATCCGTAAATAGAGAAAAATGGTGATTTTGATGCATGTATGGTGTGGGAGTGGCATAGGTTAGTGGTCACAGTGAGTGAGGAAGGTTGACATGGAGCAGCTAAATGTCGAAATAATTTTTTTTAAGAAACGCTGAACAGTGGAGCTTCTGCTGGCAAAAAGAGAAAGCGACAGAGCTCGTAATAAAACGTGAATCAACATTGGCTTGGCTTTTTGGAGATAGCAAGAACTGAGGGATTTGAAATGTTGTAAAAACAATGCGGAGATGGCGTTATTATTACTCAACAGGTGAGTAAGGTATTTTATTGATCAGATAAACTGCCTACTCTCTATCAGAAACATTATCGATTTTGAATGGTCATTTCATTATGGTTAATGGGTATAGCTACAGTACCGTCTTCAGCTAGTCAGCTTGAGATCTTATCCATCCAAATTGGTTATATCTCTTAAATCTAGTAGTGAATGTTTTAGGTTAAACAGTTGGTTAACCATATTCATTTGCAGCCACGCAGAGCTAAAGCACAACCAAAACAATGTTCCTCCACAAAAATGCATGCAGTTTTTTTTACCGCTAGAGTGCTAAAAGTTACATGGTGTGCCTTTAAGCGCCACGTTTTTAGAATGACATGTTATGATGAGATGATTCAATATACATGAACACACCGGTCAAAGATGTCCGTCTAGCACATTTACATTTGGAATGCAAAAACGTGTTCTGTGTGAACTGGCCCAGATAGTCTGCAAAATATGTCTTGGTCGGCTCAAACCAAGGTGGGATGAAAATTGTTAACGATCAATATAGAAAAAAATATAGTGAGCATTTTTTTGCCATATCGCGCAGCCCGACTTTGAAAGGCAATAGGAGACATTAAACATGTAAATGAGTAGCACTCTAGCTCGTCATGACTTAAGTGACCCGGACAGCCGTGCTTCACTTGAATACACATTTCCTTGTCTTGAGTCTCTAACAAAATTGTTATTGGTGTGGTGTTTGCTTTTATGATTCATGTTGAGTCTCCATCACTCCAGGGAAGTAAGCTCTCTAACCGTCTAAGCTCTACCCAAGAGATGACCTCTGGTAAAAAAAAAAGTCCTCCATTTATCCAAGGCTTTGGAGGAGGAAACAAATTCATACCGCAAGAAAAGCATGCAGCCCTTCAGACAGACATCAAAGAGCTTCCATTAAGCCAAGGACGTGCAAAACACTCTTGCTCTCTTTTCAACTCAACCACAGACCTTGATATGATGTGAAATAAAGAAAAGGAAAAACATGGAACACCTTGGGGGTTGACAACAGGGAAGCATGGATATTTTCACACCTGAAAGTTCATTCTCTGATTTTCTACCTATTATATATTATAGACTTTGAAGGCTGCGGTTTCCTGTGGAAAATGCTTCCCTTTTTTACACCACTGAAAATTAGGCAACAGGAATTGCATCAATGGTCTGGTTGAATGATATCAAACAATTTATAATTTTTTTTTAATCATTTGTCTAAGATTTTTTCTACCTTTTTTAATCAACATGAAATGTTCACATGCTCTGACTGATCTTATAAAAATTCTTGCAGTCTGTGTGGAAACATCTGGAAACATTTAAGCTGCAGGCTGAATTAAACAGTGCACTCCTTATAGAGCAAAAGTTAATGCTGACACTGATGTTCTTTTGTGAGCGATAAAATTTATTGTGGATAACATGAAATCAACTTAAAAGTGATTCAAGAATGAAAAAATAGGGTGGACTTTTATTGTGTCTCCTCTCTAACTTTTAAACAATATGAAGAGTATCTCTTACTTTAGCTTCTTTGAGATCATTATTGATTATTTGTGTGAATCACTCTTAAAACATAAATTTAAACAGATGCATTCAATTTAGAAGAATGCTAAATTGTACACTAGACAATAGATGCAATTATATAGAGGCAATCGCAGTGATCAGAGAAGGGCCCATTCAGCCCATCAGGCAATTGTTTAAGCATGTAAAACGGGTATTTCTAACATGAAATGTTGCGCAATGCACCTTTAAATGAGAAGTAGTATATTTTTTTTCTGAAATGTATTTATTTTCCTTTCCAAAAGGATTTGGAAATCGAAATTATGCTGCACCTCACACTGGATTGTGGAAGCTTTCGTGGTTTGTGCATCTTGCAGTCCCTAATCTAATCTTGAACAAAACAATGAAAAACATCAAAGAGAGATACAAAAAAAAAACCACATACAGAACAAATTCGCTGTCTGATTTAAGCCAAGCCCTCATGGCTGCGTGTATGGAATTCACCCAGTGCTTTTCTTATAGCTATTCATCGCACTCCATAATCTATAAAACCAAATTTATCGCACTTTTCCCCCTCTTCAGAATGTCTGTACCAGGTTTTCAGTGGCACCTTGACTTTAAAACTTGAAGTGAAACGTTAGTGTTATTGCTTCAGGTTAGAAGATAAAGACTGCAGAGGAGGAATCAATTCATTGGGAGGAACGAATGGCAATGGAGAGATAAAATAGAGAGAGAGACAGACGCACACACACACACAAATGGAGGGCTCTTAGTCTTCCTCCATGACATGTTTATGGCTTTATATAATGTAGCTGCCATGCAGCAGTTGCCTCTAGTTATACCTGCATTACTGATGACAGAGCGAACTATTCGATGACAGTTAGTAGACATTTATTCCTAGGTGTGGCAAAAACGGGTAGAGAGTGGTGTTTTGTGATTCTGGCAGAGAAAGGTGTTATGAGTGAGCACCCAGCTTTCCAGTAATGCAGGTTATTTTGGGAAAGGGTGTGAAAGAAACATGAATGTTCTGCTGCAAGTTTACTTCATTTTAATTAATTATCCTAAAACAATAGCTCACCCAAAATGAAAAGTCCGGCATTATTTACTCACCATCTTGTCATTCAAAACCTGCGTGACTTTCTTGCAATGTTTTGAAAAAAAAAAAGACTTTTTTTGGGAGCCAATGTTGTTTCAACTTAAACAGGTCAACAAAAGACTGCTGCAGTGATTACTTTTTTTAATATATTTTTATAGGCCAACAGGGAAGTTAGCATCGCCCTGGTTTTTCCATTGGTTTGTGCATCATTGCAGCAAATGAGCTTTGTAACCAACAACAGTTTATGATTCTTACATGTTTTATTTATGATGATAATCTTCACAAATGAACCCATTTCATTAATTTTGAAGCCTAAAAACCTAAAGTAGGCTATAAAGTAAAAAGCTAAAGTAGGCTATAAACGAACGTCAAAGCTTACGACAGCTTAAATCTTTAAAGCATTTTCCCTAAAAGGTTGAGTTAAGCCAAGTTCACACTACAGGATTTTAAGCCCGATTTGCAAATCGTTGAGCTCGCCGACAGGTCGGGGTGTTATCGCGCGCAAATCGCGGGGGATTAGCGGACGATGAACGCTTGCCAATCTGTTAGTATGAAAGAGCCAACAATGCAGCGAAAACGCTCACAGAGACCTCGCACACTCGTCACCGAGCCCAGAAAAATATCTAGCCTGCTAGATATCTAGAGCCATCGCGCGACTCAACCTCAGTGATGTCATGAATACAGCCAATCATAGCGACGCATGGGTTGAGGACACCAGGTAAATCTTAGTTTTTCTTTTTCGCATTTTTTTCTCAGAGCAGATCGTCGCGCAAACAGTGTGCAGCACTAGTTTCTGTCTGACGTCCATATTCGCGTGTTGCGTTCTCTTCTTTGCTGGGTATTGGCGCACGTGCTGTTTCGCGTTATTTTTCGTGACAAAACGTGGTTTGTAGACAAGATAGAATCGTTGGGTGACAGAGTTGTTGTCAACTCGTTATTTATTTGATTATTTTCAGGATTTAGACCGTACCATAGTACTGAAACAGCTCTCATTAGAGTCAAAAATGATTTGCTCTTATCATCCGATCTTGGTTGTCAACTCGTGTAGTGAGTTACCTCCTGTTGCGGATCAATCTCGTTGTGTTGTGTGGAGTGAACAGCTAAACAACTTGAACACTCCTGATTTCACGTCATGTATTGTGAAACGCACAGTTCAGCCCGACATTTTAAAATCATGTAGTGTGAACAAGGCTTTAGATTGCAAGAGCGTCAATATAAAAACAACGAGGCTGTGAAAGTACACTAGTGAGTGCTTTTCCTGTTTGGCATGATGACGGTTAATGTCGTAGAGTAAAACATGAAAATATATTGCGCTTGTTTAACCACAGACCCCAATACCCATTGACTTCAGGATGAGGTAAACGAAAGTACTAAAATGCTAACTCATTTCCGGGTTGTGGCCAACAAAAATGTCATACCTGCAAGACTATATTCTTAAAAAGGTCTTAATACAGGTTTGGTGTGACATGAGGTTGAATACATAAAACTTTCACGTTTCGATGATCTATTCTTTTTATAATACAACAATAAAACAGAAAAAAAGGTCTTGAATCAAAAGGTTTGTGTTTGTTAGAGCCCTCAGGACAAAACAAACCCTTCGGGCCCCCTGAACGTGATGAAACGTATCATCAGGGACACATTTGTCTGTTTTGCAACAGTGAGGCAGGAAGCACGTCTGGAGGATGCGCTTAAAAAAGGAAAAACCCGTGCGGAAGAGTTAATCACTTCTAAATAAAACAACAGGTCAAACGGGATGAGATGGCTTTGCCCCTCCCCCTTCCTCTGCGGAGATGGATAGGGAGCGAGGAATTGAACACATAGAGCGTTTTCCAAATCACAACCTCTCATCTCTCCCGCTTGTACGGCGAATCTGCTTAACTAATTTCCCCGCTCCGCATTGGCCCGTTGCATTGTGGGTTTATCAGCAGAGAGCAGTCACAGGGGTGTGGACACGAAGACGGATCACTGCTGGAAACCCAACAGGAGGGTCAAAGGGTTGAGATATCTCACAACTCCAATTAGTGGCGTTTATGTGAAGCTGTCAGAGGGGTGATAACATATGCTTGCTGAAAGAAGGCAAGCAATGAATATTAAACTCATCCTCACTGCAGAATTGATTTCACACCATCAAAAAGGCATCCATAATAGTTGCATTATCGATTTCACACTATCAAAATAGTGACACAAATGAACCACTCTCCAGTTCACCTAAAAGATAAATGTGACAGCTCCTTTTAATTATGCCTCAGAAAGGGCGGATCATCTTGATGAATAAACTACTCCATCCTCGAGTCACGAGGGACTGTGTGCACTCGCTCAGTACAACCAATCATTGATTTTGTCCTCCGTTGGTTGAGTGAGACCCTTTGGGAACGAGGCAACTGCATTCAAGGTGACCTTTTTAATGAAGTCATAATTAAAATACATTTGAGATCATCACAGGGGGCTCTTAGACTCGGCGTTGCACTTGCAGCATGTGCAATGCACACTGGTCTCTGGTAAGATTTAGTGTACAGTAATCTGGATGTAGACAATGCAAAAATTGTGTCATGCATGATTTCCTCTTTGTTACATTAAGAAACAAGATTGCAGCTCAAGACATTCTTGCTACAATCTCCATTATCACAGCAGCAGGCTTTTGACAAGAATGTCTGGTTGGATTTGCTGTGTTGACATCTAGGAAAAGACCAATGATTTATGGGTTGTTGTTATTATAACATGCATTTGCATTGATTTGCAGTGACTGAGGACATACATGCTCTTGAGAATCAAACTAATGCATGATCATGTTTGCAGAAAAAGTAAATGCATCAACTTTAACAGAAGGAAAAACATGCATTATATTATAGGCTACTATATTACATTATATTATATCATATCACATTTTATTCAAAACGTCTTTAAAACATCTTGAAACACATATTTATTCATTTTCATTATCTTTCGGATCAAACTAGTTGTTAATCATCAATAATGTCACACTTGAAGAATTTCCTACCGAGTCTTTGCGATGACATTCCCTCCTCCTCTGCTGCTTAACTTCGGCTCTTTGCGGATTAGCCTCGGTGGTTTTTGCGGATTTTCTGGGTTTAGTTTCGATTCTTTCGCGGGAGCAAAATCCGCGACATGATTGAAGGATGGAAAGTGTTTTTCTTTCGCAACTTCTTTAAGCGGCGGTTCGTCCGCAGCGTTCCCCCCGAAAAAGTACAAAAGTAGGAAAACTCCAAAGCATACCACGATCGCCACGATCTTGCTGTAAATTCTCATGGTAAAAAAGTGCTCTGTTCGCGTGGAAATGTCTCAACCATGACTCTGGTGGTTAAAACATGGGGACATATTTGTAGTGTGCAGCCATACTTCTTCATTTGTACTGTGATGATGAAGACGATGCTGCTCAGCTTAGCGCCGATATCACACACGTATATGAATCTCTGAAGGCGGACCTTACACTCCTTACCGTAACACTTATAATACTTCTGTCGTAAATGTAATACGGTAATTCTGCCGCAGAGAATAAACTATGGAAGCCAGCGGGGAACGTTCTCAGAACATTGGCTAACATTCCCTATTTGGTTGTTCATTGTTCAGATGTTTTAAGGATGTTTTCTCATTTCAAATAATGTTTCTATAAGGTTAAATGTAAACTAAGATATCGTTTTAACTGTAACATTTTGAGGATGTTTTGGGAAAGTTGTTGAGATAAAAGATTATACAATGTTCCTTAATAACAGAGGAGGAACATTATCAAATCAACAAACAGTTCGCAAAATGTTTTGAGGATATCATTGAGGCCCGAGATGACGGAATGTATTTTTATAAAACGTTCTTGTAACGTGACGTGTTAAAGCAAGAATGTTATCCTACACAGCAAAAACTCCAGAGTTAACTTAACTCTCCTGGAAGTTAATTTGGCTCCATACTCAAAGAGTTAAAGTGTTCAAATATGAGTGTTAAATAAACACTGAAGAGTCTCTTTGTTCATCTGGCAGTTTTAACTCGGTTACAACAGTCAAGCAAATTCTAAAGTTAAAACTGTAAGGGTCAAGAGCTCAACTAAAGCACACACTAATCATCATAATGGTGACTTAAAAATAGTGATTTTCTCCTTCAGTGATTCTGCTTGTTAACATCAGGTGTCTTCAATAATGCTCAATCACCACTCAATTGACCACTTAATTATCTCATTAACTTTTTATGGAGTTTTTGTTGTGTTCCTTTTAGGAGAACATTCTGGGAACCAAAATAAAACTATGAAAACATTATTAGAACTTCATGGTTATGTTCCCAGAACGTTTTTAGAACAAAACATTTTAAAAGATAATTGTGACAAAAGTGACTTTTTATCTAACAATTGCGAGTTTATATCACGTAAAAAGTCCGAATTTTTCTCAATCAGTCAAAATTACCATTTTTATTTGTTTTATTGACGGAAACTAGCTTCCATACTGTGTAAAAACATATTAAACTTTTTTTCTATTTGGTTCATATTCACAATTATATTATCATACTGTATTATTATACGCATGTCTGGTTGTCAGGCGGATATTAACACTTTTATTATCAATAATAATTTATATTTTTTGTTATATACAGTTTTTTTTACAAAATAATGTTATTAGATTAGATCATATAATTGTATGTTTATTATTGTATGATGATAGCAAGCAACTGTACACTTCTAACTTCAGTTTCTCAAATCTGTTGAAATACATCGTTCCAATTTTGAAATCTGATTAATAAATGTTTGATTTTAAATTACATTCATTGCAATGTATTCCATCAGTTTTACCATGTGCAGGTAGTATTCCTGTGAGAAATGGAGTGTAACGTCAAAGTGAGTTTGTAGTCCTGCTTATTTGTGGAATTACGGTAAAACATGGCCAACAGAGAAAGCAGGAAGTACTGAAGCTGGCCATGTGCTGGATATGTGTTTCTGATGTTGTTTAACGCATGGAAGTGTTCACAAACGAGGCGTGAAGGTATGTTTTGTTATATTATTTGCCAGTTCCTTATTTATATCGTACTATACCATTTGAGAACGTTAAAGTCTAAAAGTGCATGGAGCGTGTCCTGCCTGCTTCTTTATGATAGCATAAACATTGTATACTCAAACAACACAGGCAGACTTTTGACAGCTGTTTACCTGCAGTGGGATTTAGTTATCATTTCGTTTATTTTTTGAGTTTGTTTTCTAAGGTGTGCATCAAATCAGTTTAACGACGTTGGTTACTTGCATGACATATTGATGTTTTCTTTAATTTTAGTCCTCACTATTATCAGACTGTATCTTAACTGGTGAATAACAGTGTTGTGTAAAACTGAAATAGAATAAAGTTTCATTTTAAACCTAATCACACCCAATGTTTATAATATACTAGTTGGCAAGGTGTTGTTTTATGTCTCATTGAGTTCAAATCAAATAGCCACAAGGTGGAGTTGTAAGCTGCACGATTCTTTCCTTTCTTCACATATTGACTGCATGTCAAACAGTCAGTGAGTTGAGTAGACTGAAGAATCTGTTCATATCACAGTGCCAGGTGGTTGATTATCTTGTTTAGAAGCAACCTTTAGAGTTTTAACTGTAATTTTTCTAATTTATTGGTTGTTAAAGGTGCTAAATGTAACTTTTCTTCTAAAATGAATCCTTTTTGAATTGCCTGTGTGTGAAAGGGTTGTAATCACACATTACAATGATCCACTTGTTGGGTTTTGCTATTACCTCTGAAGCAGTAGCGTAGCCAGAAAAGAGACTTTCGTTGTGCATCTAAAAAACTGGGTGTGCCACATTTATTGTCAGATTACTGTGCAAAGTTATTATTAACCATAACCATGCCCCACATAACCATAAAACTATATAACTACACAGTCTCAAGTTAAAGGGATAGTTCACTTTAAACTGAAAATTCTGTCATCCTTTACTCACCCTCAAGTTGTTTCAACCCTGTATGAATTTCTTTCTTCTGCTGAACACAAGGGAAGATATTTTGAAGGATATCAGCAACCAAACAGTTAACTGGAACCTCCATAGTAGGAAAAAAAATACCATGGAAGTCAATGCTTTTTGATTGATAATTGTTTAACCCCATTAGGATTGTTTTTTTAAATTATAATTTAATTTCATTAGCATTCCTTTAGTGTTTCCCACTCTGCCAATTATTTTAAAATGTCTGAATTATAATTTTTTTAATCTGTCTAAATTTTCTGTCTTGTTTCTGCAGTCCATTGCTGTGTGTAATCATGATAACACCAGCCTTTGAACTGAGCCAAGACGCCAATTTCCTTACGCTGATTATTCGTGTACCCTACACCAGAACATCTGAGTTTGACATCTACATCCAGGAAGACGATTTGAAGTTCTACGCCAAGCCATACTTTCTCAGGTGACTCACCTGCAAACTTCATGATTGATATTCTGATATGCTAAAACACTTAATATAGGATGTTTACAACGCTTTTTACCTAGACAGAGACCCAAAAAAAAAGCATTTGGACTCCTCATCCACACAAAAATAAATTCCATAGCAAGTTCTGATAACATGCCTGTAATAATTTGTAGATGCCACTTGTATTTAAGTTAGATTATTAGCAGGAACATTTGCATGTGGTTATTGGTGGCAAATGGGTATTGAAGATAAATGTGTATTATTATGCAATTATGGACATTTTAAAAAAATATATTTTATATCGTTACTAATGAATCATGTTTAATCATCTACCCTGAAGGTTGACTCTGCCTGGGAGAATAGTAGAAGATGGCCGGGAGAAAGCTTCCTTCGATGTCGATAAAGGTAACAATAACTCTTTAGACACATTCTAATCTAAGAATAGCTGCGTGCTTTTGTTTGCCACTCAATACCTCACAAGTTTCAGCAGAAGCACCTTTAGAGAAAGGTCCCACAGCTCGGGACACACCAAGCCGATGTCAAAGAACTAGCGGCAGTGAAAGCTGACTCTGTTGTCGGCTGCACTTCGGCCAAAAATCTGCACTTGAACACACTAAAAGGACTAAAGGAGGCTGTCCGCTATCACGTGCGTACTGACTCTGTCTATGTCAGAGGGTATCAATAGTCTATTTTGGTTATTCAAAAGGGGAAACTGAAACTAGGACTGCAGATACACAAACTGTAAAGGGCAGCGCTTGCTTAACATTTTGAATATCATTCACTTTCTTCATTCCAGTCGGCTAATGTTATTGTGAAAATATTAAAGGGATACTCCACTTTTTTTGGAAATAGGCTCATTTTACCACTCCCCCAGAGTTAAACATTTGAGTTTTACCATTTTTTAATGTATTCAGCCAATTGTTTTATATTTAGAAGAATATCAGTAACCAGATAGTTTCTGGTCTCATTGACTTCCATAGTATATTTTTTTCCTACTATGGAAGTCAATGAGACCAAAAACTGTCTGGTTACTGATATTCATCTAAATATCAGAAAATCGGCTGAATGGAATTGATTGATAGGTTAGTATTTTTTTTATATATATATATATATATATATAAATACACCCCTTTGATTTTACAATTTTCACAACATTTCAAACTGTCTACCTGCTCTTCAAATCGCATGAACATTTCCAGTTGCTAAGTAATGGCCACAGGATTGTGTCGTCTTTGATCGACAGCCAGTGAAAAATTTAGCAGTGGTCTATCACAAAGAACGTCTAATTGCTTTCTGTGTTTACACAGAGTAACAAGTAATTATAAATCATTCACAAATCTGTAAGGACTACAGTTAAAGCAATTATTGTCATTTTAAAATAACACCATTTTAATGTTCCATTAGGGTCTAAAATTATGTTGTTTATTGCAAGATGTCAGACACAGATTTTGAGATTGTAACCGTTTGGCACATAATGTGTAGAATATAATCCCTCTGTGTTTTTTACCATATAATTTAGCAATTTTCATAAGAAAACACTCAAAGATCGAAAACCAGTCAGCTGGGATCGTGATTAGTGCACATATACTTAAGATATCATGCTCATGTGGAAGACAAAGGTTTGGAGTTGTCCCTCTCATAATTTCGTGTCTTCTCTTTTTGTAGTAAGTAAATTAAAAACATGAAGTAAAAGATTATATCTTTAAGTAAATAAAAATGGAAAATGAAAATTCTGCCTTTTACTCATCCTCATGTTGTTCCAAACCTGTATGACTCTCATTATTCTGTAAAAACACAAAAGAAGATATTTTGAAGAATGTTGGTAACCAAACTGTTTGGTCCCCATTGACTTCCATTGTATGGACAAAAAAAAAACACTAGGGGAAAATTTCTCAAAATATCTTACTTTATGGTCCAGAGAAAAATAGAATGAAATACGGATTTAGAACAACATGAGGGTGAGTAAATAATTTTCACTTTTGGGTGAACTATCCCTTTAAGTGGAGAAACAAGAAATCCCTGTTACCAGTCAAAGCTAGTTGGTCTTAAATGGTTTAAGATGGCTTTCCAACCTGGCCCAGCTTTTTTTTTTTTTTTTAAATCTGATTTAGCTAGGCAGCTAGCTGGGAGAACAACTAAGACAAGCAACCTGCTTTGAAAAAAAAAAAATGTTGTTTTTTCCCCAGCACTGATAAAAGGAAATGTTCTAGTAATGCAGTAATAAAACACAAATTTAGAACTCTCTCTCTCTCGTGTGTGTGTGTGTGTGTGGTACTTATCAATCTTTAATTCAGAAAGAAACCGCAGAAGCCGTGCTGTGATTGTGTCTGACCGATCTGCCGTAGTCCCGACATGTCTTTTAATGAGCTGCCTATTAGCGCTTTTAATTATACCTAATGGCCACAGGATCTTCTGCTTGACATCTATTTGGCCTCATTTCAGCGCGTCCTCTTTGATCGACAGCCAGTGAATAATTGAATAGCCTCCTATCGTATAGCAACTAATTGCTTTCTATGTTTACATTAGAAATTATAAATCATTTACACATTTTTAAGGACCACAATCAAGGCAATTATTGTCATTTTAATGGTGATGTGTGTTTTTTCAATTCAAAGATTTTTTTCCTGCCCCAGCTTGATAAGCCACATGTAATGAAACCACATGGTTGTGTTCCCAGAAAAATGGTGACTGCTTTCAAAGCATTGCTCTGTTTAAGAATCCGACCAGCCCTACATGGCAACAGTGTTAACCAATGGCATAAATTTGGGGCGGGACTATCTGTTCGATCCAGCGAGAGTGTTCTTCTGTAGAACACAAATATTTTGAAAAATATCGTTTTGGACCCCTTGACTCTTATTGTATGGACGAAAAGAATATCTTATTTTGCGTTTAACAAAAGAAAGAACTGAATATTAATTTTTTGGGTGAACAGTCACTTTAAAAGTTTAAATCTCACTTAAATGATGACACATCTCTTCTGTTTTGAGACATACATCCAAGTGAATCAAATTATTGAGAAAGAAGGAAAAATTTAGGCTGGAGACTTGATTCAATGGTGAAATTAAGTGATTTTTTTTTTTTTTTTACCTTGTGATTTTTAATTAAAATAAATATAATCTCTCAATGTTCCAGTGAAACAACAAGACTTCTCTCTGGTGATTTCTCCAATCATTTACTTCTCTTGACTTGAACCCTTTTCTTACAATCGGATGTATATTTACATTCAGGTCAGCCTTGAATGTATGTCACAATACAGAAAAAAAATCTGTCTCAAATCTGTGTGGACTGTATCAGGTCTCTTCACGCTGCATGTCCCTAAAGAGACGGCCGGACAGCACTTTGAGGGTTTGGAGATGCTCACCAGTCTCCTGGCTCCTAAAGGATCAAGATCAGCCAAACCCTTGGTGGAGGACACAGGTGAGGTTTCATTTTTACTTGGGTATGAAAAGCTGATCGTCTTCTTGTGGCATTTCTTTTCATTTCAATTTCATCTCATCCTGTATTCTCTGAACGCCCTCTGAAGGTGTTCTCTCGGGGGCCTGTGGTGGAGGATGTGAGGAGGATGATGAAGAGGAGGAGTTTGATTGGCAGATAGAACAAGAGATGTACACCGAAACCTCAGCTGAGATGCTGAAAGAATACCACAAGTATGGCTTTGGAAACCTCAGGTCTGGAGTCTTCACTAGGCTGCAAGTAAGAACATTTGGGACTGTAGAGATATATATCAATAAAAAAAGAAAAAGAAATGACCTAGAGTTTTTGTGGACAACCAATTGTTTTGCCGATCAGGAGGAGCTGAATGAGGTGATTGACGTGAAGGATCCCGACAACACCGCTCCTGAGCTCAGAAGACGCGATCGACTAGATGCAGAGACTACAATTTTTTGTACTGACCATTATATGTGAGTCCACCATTCCCCATTCCTGTGTTGAATGTCATCAAATCTGTCAAAACTAAAAAAAAAATAGTACAATGACGTGATTTTTTAAAACATTTCATTCAACATCTCATGCACAACACAACTTTGTTTCTTGACCCAATTTGTTTTGCGAGTCAGTTTAATTGATTGACAGGTGTGTTTGATTGATGCAGGGTATGTTTGTATGAGGATGAGGAGGAGATCAGAAACCTGCTGAAGTTTAAACCATGGTGGAGAGAACTGAGCCCCGACTCTTCAGCAAACTCTGACACCTGTGAGACATTTACCTCCTCTGTTATACTCTCTAGATGTATTTACACATTCTGTACATAATTACTGCTTTGTCCTGTGTGTCTCTCAGTGGGTCTGTGTCGAGAATTGGGTCGGGTTAACTTGAGGTCGCCAAATGTACAATGTATTTCCAGAAGTGCAGTTTCTAGGTCCTACCAGCAGGTGGCGCACCTTTGCTGAAAACTGATCATTCATTTTGTAAGAGACAACTAGCGACGGCGTCGTGTTCACGTTGCATATAGGAGGAGATTAGAAACTATTTGGAGCGTTGTTCTAGCACTCATCTCTTTTTGTGATCAGTGTGTCCCCGGCTTTATGTGTGTTTTTGTCGTTGTTTCATAACTGCTGAGTCATATTGATGAGGCTGTGTGTGAGTCACTGAGTTAGTTTATTCAACGAGGCACACTCTACCTCTCAGCCTACTTTTGTGCCCAAAAAGAAATGTGCTTTCTTTCCCATTTGTTCTTTCTCTCTGTTTTTCCTCCTTCATCTTTCCTTAGACCCATAGACAGAACTATAGGTATTGATATATCTGTCTATAGTTCTATCTGTCTGTCCCTTCATTTCCATCTTTTTTTCATCTTATCTACCTGTCTGTATTTTTATTTACCTATCATCTATCTAACATTCATTTGTTAGTTCTATCTATTGTTCTCTTAAATATATATATATATATATATTCTGTCGTTCTATTAGTCATTTTATCATTCTATTGTCTTTTCATCTAGATATCTATCTTTCTATCTCTTGCATGGATTATTGACGTGTGTGTGATAAAGCGGCACAGACGTGGACAGCCGAGAAGTGATTGTGTCCCACACCAGCACGTTCATCACTAGAGCCGTGTGCTAATTCCTTAGTGCCCGTTTACAGAATGAGGAAATTACTCTGAGCTGCAAGCATATGTTGGTGTGGTGTGGAGGAGGGGGGTTATACAGCTGGTCCTATCACAGAAGAAGATGATGAGGAGGAGGGATTAAACAGAGAGTTGGAGATATTTCAAAGATATTTCTTCCAAAGCTGCCAGTCCCTGCTGTCAATCAAGTAACATTGTTACTTATTAGCTACTAAGAACTACACCTTCATTTTTCACTGTTCTCATCAATACGCTGAATGCATGGGGCAGATTAATTGGTAATTGCTTGGACAAACTGTTCTGAACATCTTGCCTGAAGTTGGCAAATCGCCAAAATATCTTCTCCTCGCTGTTTTCAAAGTTTTTTTTTTTTTCCTGACTGGATGTGGCTCATTAAGCCATTAAAGATAATTAGGCGTTTTGCTTTTTAGGTATTTGGTTGAGCTGGTTAATTTTTGAGCTTATTAGCTTACATGAGAAACAGGTTGGCTTTTTTTTTCTTTGTAATGGTTTGAGGTCATTCGTCATTGGTTAAATCTCACACAACCAGTCAAGAACATGTCTAAGTGATATTTCACCCAAAAACCAAACAATTATATTTTGCTTAAATAATCCAGAGTGTGTAGTATTGAACTGTAATATGACTAAGCACATTCGTTAACTCAATGGCTCACCGCTTAAGTCACATGATCCATGACTAGTCAATACACATGCGTCTTCTTATTCAGCGTGCCCTGTATCTTTGAGCACAGTCACATGGCTAAATTTGGTCAGTGCAATCAAATTGCACCTTCTGTGGATCATTTGCTTTTAAATCTAAAAATTCTGTCATCTACCCACCATCATGTTGCTCCAAAACTGTGGAAGAAAATGTCAAAGCTGCTGTTGAACAATCTGACCTCTGGTCATGTTTAATTACTCCCAGGACATGATATGTTGCTGGAAGAAAGAAACTGAAACATGTTCTTGACTGACTGTACATCCTATGCAGTTCGAAAATGTCATGGAAAAGTTATAGACTTCACTCTTTCTGTGCCTCTTTATCTTAATGGTGAGAAACATTTCTGCCTGAGATTCTAATTCAAGATTTCTGATGCTAATTTTGTCCTTGTGTCTACTTTCTCCCTTTATTTTGTGTGTGTGTGGTGTACTTGCTTTCCCATGTGTATCGGGTAACTTCACACTCTAGGTCCCAATGGAGATAACAGCCTCACCCTATGTGTATGCATGTATGCACTTCATTACTTAGCTCGCCATCTCACTCCAATAGCTGTTTGTGTTAGTGATCTGGGCACCTGTGTGGTGTCAGATGTTGTTTTTGGCAGATTTTACCATTTAAGTGAAGGATGAACCATAAAGAATTACACAAAAGACGACTGTTATTGCCTCAAAGACATGTCCAGAATTGTTATTTACTCACTCTTAAACAGAAGCCTGTTTATGTTCTATGTTGCTGTGAAAAAGTGAGAATGTCCAGGTTGCTCCTTTTGATACAACTAAAGTGGATGGTTATTTTCATAAATACCATACATGTACGTGTAAGTCTTCTTAATTGTTTTGTGGGGAACTAGCCAATATTCATAATTTCAAATGTTCAAATCTGGGACATTCACTCACAGTATATGAGAACTATTTTGTTTGCTTACAGATGGAAATGCAATTTACTCAATGTCATATAAAAATGAGGAGGAAGAAACTGCACACCAATTGGTTCTCAGATGTATTGTCGATAGGCCAGCTATGAAATGAGGCAATATTTTTTACTTTGTGTGCACTAACATTCAGCGCATTACAATGATTTCTGAAGGAAAATGTGACTGATGAAAATTTTCAGCTGTGCCATCACAGAAATTACCATTAAAATAGAAATTGGTTATTTTAATAATACTATTTCTAGTAATATTCACAAAGTATTAGTAATATTCGCTAATTATTAAAGGAGTAGTTCACTTTTGCTGATAATTTACCCACCCCCATGTCATCCAAGATGTCCATGTCTTTATTTCTTCAGTTGAAAAGAAATTAAGGTTTTTGATGAAAATGTTCCAGGATTTGTCTCCGTTTAATGCACTTTACTGGTAACCAAACGGTTCAAGGTCCAAAAGACCGTTTCAGTGCAAACTATACAAATGGCTTTAAACGATTCCAGATGATGAATAATGGTCTTATCAAGCGATACGATCATTCATTAAAAGACTAAAAATAATAATAAGTTTAAGTTTTATAATCTCAAATGGTCACCTTGCTCTGTTCTGTGATTCGCGTTCGTGACTCTGCTGTTCGAACTCGTTCATCAAAATGAACGAATCTTTTTCCGAGTCAATTCATTCATTTCGTTCGTTGAATGAACCAAATGACACGAAAAAAGATTCGTTCATTTTGAAAAACTTGTTTTTGTAAACAAGGTCTTTTGGACCTTGAATGGTTTGGTTCCCACTGAAGTGCATTATATGGAGAAAAATCCTGGAATGTTTTCATCAAAAACCTTAATTTCTTTTCGCCTGAAGAAAAAAAGACATGGACATCTTGGATGACATTGGGGTGAGTAAATTATCAGCAAAAGTTTTTTTTTAAAAGTGAACTAACTTTAATATTCACAACCTGCGGTCACCTTTCACTTGTAGAAAAAAAAGCTGTGTGACCCCACAGGTTTGTAATCATGGTGAGTACATTTACTTTTTTTATTTTTGGGTTAACTGTTCCATTGATGCATTTTTACATAGAAGGAATGGTTTTGTTATCTCGCCGTATTTTGTAAAGTGCTAAGATTTATGTTATATACACACACAAAAAAAGAAGAAAACCCCTTGAATCTGTCAGAGTAGTTGGGGACAGAATCAGTTTAATGTTAGGCGAATACAAGAGCTTGGGTGGAGCTGAACTCCCTTCTCAGCTCCTGGTTTTGGTCTCACAGGAGTCAGTTTTCTGCCAGGCGGAGGCAGCTGTGTTAGAGGGTAAATCAGGTAGACGGAGAGAAAGAAAAGGGGGGAGCTGTTCAGTCGTCATGTCGCTGGAATCCAGCAGATCCCAACAGAGCCAGAGCTCGACTTTTGCCAGCTCTGGCTTAAAGTGTGTGTGTCTTTATGGACATGCAAGCATGCACACGAGGGGCTCTATCAGGGGCAGCACTGAAGCCAAGGAGAGGGATCACTTTCAGCTGCTACTAAAGTGCTGACTTGCTCTCTCCCCCTCTCTCTCTCGATGCCCTGCCTTCGACTCTTTCCTCCCTGGTGCAGTATCAAGTCAGTTTAGGGCATCAATCAAGCTGTGTAACTTTGCTCTTCCTGTGCTGTAACTTTACTATGCTTCAAAAGCCTCGTCTCCGACTCTGATTTAAAAATAATTGCGCCAAACATGCTTTTGTTTCTTAAAGCTCTCCGTGGAGCAGAGGCATCCATCATTCACTGCTGGAGCCCTGCGTTTAAACTTGTTTTTCGGGGGGGATTTGTCAGAGATTGACTTTGATTGTACTTCCCTGAGATAACTTGATAAACAACACTGGATGTCTGTTTTTCTCTCTTTGCTTTCAGCAATAACTTTCACAGAAGAGGAAAAGGAGCAGATGAGGAAATTCACAAACCGTTCGTACTTACTGGATAAGAAAGCGCGCTTCCACGTCTGGCTGGGTTTGGTGGACATCATTCTGGCGTATGTCTATGATGTGCGCACTACAGAGGGAGAGCACAATGTAAGTGCACGCTTGAATGCCAAAGATGACTCTCTCGGTTAGTAAGTGGGTTTGGCGTGCAGGTCCTGGCATTTTCACATGCGCTAAAGCTCCAGGAAGTTTATACATTCCTGTAATGTTTTCCAGATAGTCTCTTTGGAGGCCACTGCACATGGTAGTAATTGTAAAAATAAATATGAATAATGTAAAATTGGCGGTTGTGTTTTGAAACACAGTTTCCAAAAGTAATAGAATGTTGCAAGGGTTTTTTTTTTTTTGTGGAAGAGGTCTGTTGGATTGACTCCCAAGCTTTCAACATATGTTAAATGTACAGTAGAAATCTGGGCTTCCATTCAATCATAATAGCTAGAGGACATATCATACCGTCTTAAAACATTCTCTTGTCTAAAGTGATAAATCTAGCATTGGAGCTGTGTCTTTATGGTTAGCGCTTGTTCTCAGTGAGCCGTGGTGCTTATGTGAGTGATGGGAGTTTGAATCCAGAAACATTTCCCATTTTTTCCTTAAATTCTGTTCTTTCATCACCGTTGACTTAATGAAAAGTGTCAAAATAGGAATGCACGATATCAATATTCTGGCCGATATCAATAAGCAACTAATTATAGGTATTTTATGGCTCATAACCGATAAATGGCTGAAATTTTATGCTATTTTGTGTACTCTACCATTCATACATTTGGGGGTGGCAAGAAGGGTTATTATTTATATATATATATATATATACACACAGTATGTGCAATTCCCTAAGAAATTACCTAATAATAAAGTAATATAAGGTAACTACTGTACATGGGTTAGGTTTAAGGGTCGGTTCATGATTAGTACATAGTTATTACCCAGTTATTGCAATTACTATAATGTGTAAATAGTATGCACATGGGGAATAGGACTGTAAACTAAAATGCCACCAAAAATACTGTAAAATTAGTAATACTGTGAAATAGTAGAAAGAGATGTGAGTTTATTTTGAGAAATGGTCAAGATTGTAGCATTTACTTAACACAATTTATGGAATATTAAACTTTAATATTGGTAAATTGCTAGTCATAGTTAAGGGTCGGTCACACTGCATTTTTCCTTTCATTGACTTCCATTCATAGGAACGTGAATGCAGAAAGAAATTTGATCTTGATCTGATCTGAGTTACCTCTTAGCTGAATTAAAAGAATGCAAACTTGAAATCTGCAGAAATGCAGCATTATAATAAAGTAGAGTATATTACATATTTTACATTTGTTCATTTATTATATGCCGAATTACTTTTTTTTAAAAGAGTGTGGCATCATACTACGACTGTTGCAGTTTCTGTAGAAATTGTGGCATGCTTAAAGTCTAGTATGACAGCAGATTTATGCTAACTTTTGACATGCCTTATATAGTCTGCGTGTATAGTGTCTGACATCAGTATAGTTCAGTTTTTTATTGTGTTTAGGATCGTTGATGGCAATATTGATCAATGCTGTTGTGATTTCCAGGTAGAGTCGGCCTGGACCATCAGAAAGGTCAGCGGTACTCTCAGCTGGCTGGAGGTATGTCAACCATTTAGCAGCATAACAAAACACAACATGGCCTTGAAGGCACAAACAAACAAATGAATAAGCGAATGAGCGTTAACAAGATTTTAACTTAACAGGGTTCACATATGTTTGTTCAAAGCTGAGCTTTAGGACTCAACGTCTGCTCTGCCATTCTGCAAGTGATTAAATCTGATCTGTTTGTTCAAACAATGTAGTCAATATCCTGTGTATCTACTTCAGTTGCTATAGTAATATTGTAAGCATCAGCACAATGCCAAGAGACTTTCTCATTTTACATGCTGAACTCAATGTGTACTGTATGAGAGAACATACGCAGCAGATTTTACACATTCATGAAGATACATTTCATTATTCCCTACACAGTTTTCAACATTGACTAAACAGTGTCATTGTAAATTAAAAATCATTTTTGGTATGGTATGCAAGGGAATATATTCTCAACATTAGGAGGAAATCAGTTTAAGTACTAAAATGACTAAAACTGAAGATTAGACAGAAATAAAATACAAAAAAAAATCAGAAGCATTATTGAAAATTAAACTAAAATAGAAAAGAAAACTAAAAATATATAAATCCATAAATGCTGTAATAGTAAATAATACTAAAATAACACTGGTTTATTATACAAGGAATGATAAAGGGAGAGTTCATGGATGCAGCTCTAGACAGTATATTGCATACTTTGTATGATGTTACTTGTGCTTAACATTGCAAATTTTACCTGAACAGAAGCCTAAGATAAGGGTTTGCAGCATGCTGGTTACATTACATAAGAAATTTGTCATCTTATGAACCACTGCTGATATTAAAATACATGCAGATTATACCACTGTCCATATCTAAGGCATGTTCTTAACAATTTTCCTATCCAGATGCAAAACACCAAGTTTCCAGTACCAATTAATTGGTCTAAAATGTGTAACGCAACAAAAAATAACCAATCACACAACACCTGATGTGCATTCTGGGATATAGGGTACTGCAGAAATTGAAAAAATAGATATTTTAAAGTAGAAAAACAACGAGTACTCGATTACTCCTGCTTATCCCTGATTTGCATAAACTTGCATGTGTGTATAGTGAAATGTAGCAGACAGGCATTTACATTTTCATCATCAGCATAATCCATCCTGTTCCAAAGTGGACACCAAAGCGAGGGACAAATTTAACCTTAAACTGCTTGCGTGTGTTTAGCAGAGCTGTAAGCTTTGTGTGCGTGTGTGTACGCGTATCCCGACTCCTGGGGCGGCAGCAGTCCCTAATCCCCCACATTTCCACAGTGAGTGTGACAATGAGGACGAGTAACCCGACACCTCTCCCAGCTCAGTGCGCTGAGAGCCAGCACTCCGCTGCAATACTGATAATGGAAGGGTGGTAATGACATCCTCCAACTGCCTGCTCTCACACACACACAAAACAACACAAACCCTCTGCCCCCTCATTTCCTCTTTCACTCTTTCATTTTTAGTGCTTGTAAGGCAGCTCTATATTGATCTTCCTTAAACATTTGTGTTAGGGTTTTGTCCCAAACCTCTGACCTCTGAAGTATTAAACAGTGCTTTTCACTGACAAAAAAATTAGCTAATGACAAATATTACGCCAAAAATCTATTAACATTTTCGTCAACGGATAAAAATGAGATTAAAGTGTTTGGGAAGGACGATTTGGGAACGGATGTCCACGTCCCAAATCGATTTCCAATTCCCTAATCGGTGGATGCACACATTTGAATTGTAACGTGCTGATCTACACGCCGGGACCTAAGTTGGCATACATTTGCTGCATGTCTCGTTGAACGTTCAAAAATGTAAACGTGTGGGAGAAAGAGTAGAGCAGACAAATGGAATTATCCTACACTATCTCACGACCAATTCGTACGAATTCGACGAATGATTAAAAAGTGTCTAATTCGTACGACCTCACTCGTACGAATTCGTACGACTTGTCTAAACCCACGTGATGGGTAGGTTTAGGAGCGGGGTAAGGGGTAAGTCATTCGTACGAATCAAGCGTGCCGCACAAGCCCTCAAAATTGAAGCCAAAACGTCTTGATCGCCCCCCTATGACCGGACCTAGTATAGCTATGGTATTCAATGGGACGTGAGACCAACTAAACAATTAAATTACACTTCACATATCCTTTTTTCAAAGATAGTTTCTGTCATTTTCTATAGTTTCTATCACGTTGATGTAATTTCAAGTGTTGGTTTTTAAAATAAGTTTGTTTTTAGTTAGTTATGTGATGATAAAAACGGTGCTCTGACATCATGATTGACAGGTTCTCTGTGTGAGGTAGTCACTGAAGCACCAGTGGACTTTTTTAAATAATGTTGATTAATTGGTTAGTAGTTGTGTTTACCTTATTTTAACGAGGTTCTGCAATCAGCAGACATCATTGGAGAAGAACGAAGCAGATAGAGGACACTTAATGAAAGTGCGGGGCGTGTGCTTGCGTTTGATTCAGCGAGAATGAAGGCGCGGCCTTGATTTCGCGGCTTTACTTCCTGCTCACGACTGCGCATGACTGGTCCCGAAACACACAAGTGCGCAGACTCAAGTTCCAAGATGTCAGCGTCATATCGAGACACTGGCGGCTTGAGTTCTTTCTAATGGAAAAGAGCGAAGGGGCGTCGTCCATCTTTTTTACAGCCAATTCGTAAAATATGTACGATTTAGCAAAATTGTTGAATTGTATGAATTGTTACGAATTAGCCACTTTTTAATCATTCGTCGAATTCGTACGATTTGGTCGTAAGATCGGGTTGAATTATCTGAAAAAGCGCGACGACGTGAAAGACAGCTTAATTCAGTACGCTTTTGGTGTGCGCTCACAGACGTCAGTGCACGAGTAGTAGCCTACTCAACTGAGCTATCTTTCACATCTTCCAGTTTGAATAATTTGTTGACAAGTTGGATTTATCTGGCTCTTTGGTTCAGGTTGGTCAATGTAATGAGAATTCTTTGTCTTGAATTTTTTAAATATAAATATTTGTAAAATAGTTTACCATTATATTAATTAATTAATTTTTACCATGCTGGCATTTATTTGTATTTATTTAGTTTTATTTTCAGTGAATTGTTTCATCGAGTTCACAAAAACATGCTGAATGATTAATTCCGTTCTCTTGCATGAAATGGGATGAGTAAACGATAACAGAACATCATTCAAATATTTGTATAGCAAATTATGATTGTCTTGCAGTTATTTGCATACTAACTTGTGATTGGTCTAGAACGTTTAAAGCCACCTACTGCTACAAACACCATGTTGCATTATGTGAAGATTCTTATGCACAGCCAGTAAAACTCCAGACACTGCCTCTGGGGCATTTCATTTGCACAGAACAATGGCCTACAACTGAAGCGTCCTAAAACTTCAGTGCTATTCTTCAGCTATCTTGCAAGCACTGGTATTTCCTTCAGGAAATGCTAATGTAGTTTCCCAACACCCTATCATTGTCTCCTCCTCTCTTTCTCTCTCAATCTCCTTCATTTCTCTTCCTCTCCACCCTGTGTTTTGCCTAACCACTGTAAATCCAGTGCTCCTTCAGCCCCCCTCTCTTCCTCAGCAGGCTTATTTACACCAGTGTTTAATAGCCTGGGGGAGTGCATGAGCTATGATGACATGCTAGAATGGCTCCGGGTGCATTCTTAACAAGCTGCTGAGAGAATAGCGGAGGGGAGGGAGAGTGGGAGGCTGGAAAACGCAAAAAGAGAAAGAGCGAATAAAGAGAATAAAGACATGTTTTCCCCCCAAAGCACTTGTCTGTTGATGCTTAGACCACGGAGAACTCTGAGGCAAGCGATTAAACACCGTCTACAATTAAGAACGCCGCTTGCCAAGGTGTTTAAAAGTTGACCTACTATTTACCCTGCTAATAAAATGAGAAGTCGTTGGGAATAATTAGAGCAATTTGCTGTAATTACCAGTGGAGTTAGGAAATGATTGATGTAATATGCTTAGACAGATCTGGAGCAATTTACAGACCGCTTGTGTGTGAATGTGTTACAGACGTATCACTCGGTACAAGATGTGCTGGTGTCTTTCGGCAGGAGGACTTTGTGCTACCCGCTCTTCCGGCATTTCTCCCTGATCACAAGAGCTGTGAGAGACGTTGCTTGCATTTTTCAGTCTGGTGAGTCCTGTCCTTCTTTCTTTTTTTTTCTTTTTTTTCCCAGTTAAAAACAGACCTCTTAGCCTTTTCCAAGCCACCAATGGAACGCGTTGAGGGTCAAGACTAAACACATGACCTGATCCTCACCCTATAAACCCTGCAGTGCTTCCACCTCATTATGAGAATTCCTGCTGCCAATGAAAGCAAGCGTATCTCTTTCAACTTCATATCCCCATAAAGGCAGGTTTCTTCAAATAATCCCATTGGCGTTTATTTGTTTTTTCGTATGACTTGGTCAAACAACTCTTAAAATGAGTATATGAAGAGTTCAGATGCAAAAGCCTCTAAGTGCCATTTGAAATTTTCTCCTAGAATGATCATTTTTATCAAGCTTGTATATTTAAGTTCAGTAATTTCACTTAAATGACAATTAATAGGTAATCTTCATTGCAATTTAAGTGAAATTACTGAACTTAACTATACTTGATAAAAATTATCATTCTAGAAGAAAATTTCAAATGCCACTTAGATGCTTTTGCATCTGAACTCTTCATATATAATTATAGTTTTATTATATATGTATAAATACAGTGTGTATATATATATATATATATATATATATATATAATAATACTATTATTATATTTATACTCATTTTAAGAGTTGTTTGTTTGACCAAGTCATACGACAAGACAAATAAACTTTTATTTGTCTTTTCTGCTCGTTTATTCAAACTAAGTTGTTCTATAACAGACAAACGTTGGTCTGCATACGTCATCTTAATCGCTTTTTTTTTTTACATAAATTATTGTTTTTTTATGCCTATAATAACATTCAGAATATGAAATATACTATCATTGATATAAAAAATCAAAACAAGTCTAAAATAAGAATGTTCAGATATTTTTTTTTACTGTAACAGAACTTGTTATGAAGACCCATCCTGCATATTTTGTTCCCAGTAAATCTCGGAAATGCATCACACTACAGAAGTGCGAGTTGCGAATACTGTTTCATGTTGACTTTAAGAGACTAATGACAACAAGAGCTTGACAGGCAACCTAAATTTACCCACAGCAGACGGTGTTGCTCACTCTGGACCAAATTTAACACAACGCTCACCAACTCTCCCTGAACAGCAGGGTGCTTCGGTAAAAGACATTTTCCATGACCAGTAAGTCAACAGATTGGTCATGTCTTGGTGTGCTTAGTCTTGCTGTTCTGTCAGCGCAAATGGGAGGGGGGGTTAAGAATGAGGAAATCTGAGAAGGATGTCTCCTCACTTCTGAAGAAATCAGCGATTCTGCCGAGTAGACACTGTTGCCTTTGATATCACTGCGAGAGGAGCAACCTTTAAATCAAAGAAGCCATCTGTGGGAGAGACAGAAGCGCTGTGTAAACACATTTTGGGGCGTGTGTGGTGAGATTATCCAACACATGTTGATTTTAGCGCTCATAGATAACTGCAATTAAAGGGCTTGTAAGGTTTGGGATTAGCAAGGTATGGTTGATTTGAGAAGTTAAGTCATAGTAGAGACTACTTGACAAAAGAAGATTAGAAACAAGTAAAATCACACTTCACTGATTTCAGGTTCATTCCAGGTACTGGCAGCTTTCTGCACTGACTGAGAATGACATGTACTCATAAAGAAACATTTTTTGCGACACATTTTCGATCCATAAATGGTTATTCAGAAATGTGTCAACTTATGACATCGGAGGCACTTGGAGGCGTCAACTGGGAAGTCTTTTTAGATGTAGGCAAGCAATGATAATTTTTTTTCTGGTGAAATGGATTATGTTACAAGACTGAACCTTCCCCATTAAGACCAGGCATGTGTATTAATAAAGTAAGTAGGATTGGTTTAGCTTTCAGGTTGGCTCTAAAGACCAGATAAAAAATGATGATCCTGCCAAATCAAGATGGATAAACCCTACAAAGAAATGGGAATACCATTTCAGGCTGAATGTTATAGACTATATAAGTTAGCCATTTAAAAATTGAACCTTGATAATAGATGTACATACATTTGGATATATAGTAAATGTTTAATTGATCTCTGAGGATCATAACTAAACACAAGACAACATTAACTATAACCAAGTCTCATTTTCGATGAGATTTATTTGATGAATTAGTGCGACAATATACAGGGCAGCCATTAAAGGTAGAGTAGGCAATTTCGCAGAGGTTAGCAATAACAAGCTAGCTTTGAAATCATAAGATCCCACCCTCTCTTCGAAAAAAGGGCTCCAAAGCCACGCCTCCTTTAAAATACATGAGCGCACACGGAGTCTGCAAAGCATCACAAGATAAGAGATGGCATTAAATTACCTCATGTCACAAAGCACATAACATCACAATAATAAAACTCAGAGCGCTGACGTGTACCACCTGATGGCTGCAGATTCATTTTGGCATTGATGGTATAGAAACGCATAATTCTATGCGGGTAGAATGTCACAGGGTTGCCATCTCTTAATCACGGTTGTTAAGGCAGCGTAAGCTCGTTGTTTTGATTCAGGAGGAACTGTAAAAGTACAAAAATACATATGTTGACAGTCAGGTAGGACTTCCTATAATTTCATTCAGACCAAATGCAATGATTGGACAAACCTTTTTTAGTCCTGAGACTTCCACAGAAGATATATGTAAATTATATATATATATTTAGACCACCTCTATTGTGGCCAGTATTGAGTATAACCAGTATAACAAGAAGTGTTTATGAAAAACATTGCCTAACTTTAATGTTAAGCTGATTTCAACTGTATGCAAATAAGCAGCAATAGCCAATAGTAGAGCAATATGATCTGCCATATCAAGTATGTAGGAACACCTGCTAGTAACCAACAGACTTGGTGATTCAATCTCAGGACATCAGTGCTGAACGTTCTGTAATTGGGTTGAAATTGTATTTTTAGTTTAGTTGTCTGCCCTTAGAGGCTTTTACATTTTACAAGATACTATCATATCAATCTGTTCTCTGAAGTTTAAACTGGTTCTCTTGCTCTTTTCCTCAAGGTACAGATTTCTAAACACACCGCTGGGTTTCACTCAGAATCTGTGACATCAGTTTACAATTTGTAGATTTACAACCATCAAAGCCTCACGAGCAATAAGGCTCCCCTTTAATGAACGGTAACAGCGGTGTGACTCCCCTCGGAAAGCAGGCTATCCTGTGAAACCGTGACTCCTGGGTAATTAATTTGTCGGCGGAACATGAATGGAGGTGTGTGTCTGATGTGTGTGTACTCTAATTTGAGGCACTTCGTTTAACCAGCAGTGAAAGCAAACAGTTGTAGGTAGTAGGAAAACAAACCCATTAATGATCCTGCACGAGGAAAGCCGTGATGGAAATGCTAACCAGGGGTAAATATTTGAACAGCCCTCTGGCAGCTCGTCTGGTTGTTCTCCGTGAGATCCTGCTAAAGTCAGCGGCCCTCAAGGAGATTGAGGAGGGAGAGTATGGATAACGGCCTAAAAGATGCACTGTGGGCAAATATAAACACTCATATATAATCTGAACGTTCAGGGGCATGCCTGTATTTCATTTAACTGCATAGCTTGGATTCAGTTTCCACTTGTTTTGCTCTGCACTGGCATGGGCTTTATCAGTTAACACAGTTTTTCCCAACTTTTTGCCATTGTTACCTCCACAGCACCATGTTAAATACCCCTTTTATGTACTTGGCTAGATTTCAGGTTTAATTGTTTTCTATTTGTATACATTTTAAAATATTATTTATTTCTGTGATGGAAAAGCTGAATTACGTGCTAATATGCGGATTTGAGAAACAGTTCTAATTATCAATGTTGACAACAGTTTTTGTGGAATATATATATATATATATATATATATATATATATATATTTTTTAGGATAAACAAAGAACAGTATTTATTTGAAATGGAAAGCATTTGTAACAAAGGACTTCACTGTAACTTTTGATTCATTTTACTTTCAAATGGTAGTATACATAGTTGTATCTTTTGGTTTGGAAGCAGGTTCATTTTCATGGCATTTTAAAAGCCCTTTTACATCCTTCAGTGATCAAATTCGTTTTTGCTAAGTTCTGTCGGAGCTTAGTGAGATTCATTGTTTTCCTCGGCAGGAATTGTCACCTTTAAGCCAACGTGATCAATCTTAAAAAGTGCATTGCCATATTCGCGATGATAGATGTAGGCCATTTGATGCGGCATAATTTGATGTCATTGTTCTTTAACGTGATTTTTGCAGCTGTTTCACGAGTATAGCTCCTTTGTTCACTCGCAGTCAGTGTCACCCTTTGTATGATTAATACATTGGTGGTTTAAGGCTGATTCTTACCAAGTTTGTCAACAACATCCAGGTCATATTTCACACCAAAATCAAATAAAAATACGAAGCCTGTTTGATGGACCTTTTATTTTGTTGGCATTTTACTGCAAGCCCAGACATCTTTCTTCCCTCAATAGTAGCTGTGTACTGATGGCATATGTTTTAGATGTAATCACAAATATATTATTATATTATAGTTGAAGTTTTACCAGTGACTTTGTCACAAATAAAGATTAGCTAGTGAAAGACTGATAATTGGGTTTTATTTTCTTAAAGCTCATTTTTTATAATTTACTTTTTTGGATGAAAATTACCTTGGCATATTTTTGGGCATGCTTTGTGAGATTGTGGACCTTTACCCTCTGTACTTCCAGAGCCCAAATCTCACCTTGTCAACCCATTCCACCTCTTCCTCTTCTTTCTTCTCTTGTCTCCTGTCCTCAACCTCTTCTTCCCCTGAGACGCCTGATTGCAGCACATGATTAACTGGCTCAACATGCAATCTAAACCTTGCACAAACCCACAGCTGGTCTTCGGAAGAATCCAAAAGCTTTCTTTTCCTCCACTCTCCCAGGGAGCAGTGAAGAAAAGTAGAAAACCCTTCAATTATAGACGGATGAAAGTCGGAGACAGCGAGAGAGGGAGGAAGAATGGAGAAAGACAGAGTACGGTTCAAGTTCCTGGAGTTTTTCTCGCATGTCCTGAAGCTGGAAGCCACGGCGGCTGCTCTGGGTTAGAGCTCCAGCTTAAATGGGAACCAAATGTTTGTGTAAGGCTTTCCTCGGTGCGAGTGCACTGTTTGTTTTTTGAGGCGGCTGGAATGTCTCCACCGGCTGCCAGGCTATTCTGTGGGCAGCTCGAGAATCCTCGGGGTCCTGCTTTCACTTCACAACTGAGCACGTTGCATCGCGCTGAGGGGATGTTTTTGCACATTATTTGAGAGACGGGTGTTATGACAACAAATATCATTGCTGCGGCATGGTGCCCTTAAGGTGTTTGTGTGTATGGGGGTGTGTTTTGTGTGTTGTGGAAGCATCTGCCAAAATTGAAAATACAATTATCTCAAAAAGCATCTGCTTAGCACAGATTTCCCTTTTTTGCTCCAAAAAAGTTGCACAGTTAATTACTAACTCTACTGTCTTTACTGCTTTAAAAAATCCAAGTATTTTAAATTTGTATAACAAATTAACCAAAGAGTAGCTTATACAAGGTAAGAAAGCAATGATACACATATAGAAAAGTGAGAAACAAAAAAACAAAGAGAATGGAAAACAGCTAAATATAGATATCTATGTAATGGTGCATGCAGGTACATTGGTAAGTAATGAGATATTTTAGTGCTATAGATATAGATCGAGGCAATCTAAGATAATCATAGTAATAGTTATAAAGTTGTAGTGGAAATAGTAAACATACATAGTATTAAGATAAAAAATACATATGACAGACTATTTTCATAGAATATAGATCCAGTTAAGTTTTTGTTTCCCCACTGGTTTAAGCATAAACCTTGCTAATAAATGCATACTTCTGTGTTTAGGCTGATTCAGTTCATGCTTTCTTTGTCACAGGGAAGGCCTGCATCCTGAAATGTCTGCTAGCCATCCATAAGATCTTCCGGGAGAACGATCCAGCCTACATCCTCAATGACCTCTACATCACGGACTACTGCATCTGGATCCAGAGGATCAAGTATGTTCAGTCCAATCTAGCCTGAAATGAACTAGGTCCAAAATCTGATCGTCTGCTAATCATGCCGTGTTGATGAATCCCTGCTGAGAGCTAAACCGCAGGTTCATTAAAGCAGTGAGCCACAAGAGATAGCATTATAGTGATTTTACTAGGGATAAGAGGTCTTTTTAGAATCTCACAATGTCAAGTCCGGGTCACATTTCACACCAAAATCAAAAAAAGAAAATAAGAAATTATGTTTCGCATAAAAAGAGATTCCTGCACTGCATTTTGACATCTCCATGATGGTTAACCACATTTTCACCACATCAAAGTACTAATACTACCATGAAAAAAAATAAAGCTGTATATAATTAATATGCAACAAATTTAAATAACTTTTTTAGTAAAAAAAAAATTGTATTATATTCTATGAGATTTTTGTTTGCATTACGGTAATGAGAAATTTGTGTGAAAATTGACATGTAAAATGTCAATTTTCTTTAGGAAAAATAGATATTATTTGTTTGTTTTTGTTTTTTTTGGGGGGTTGAGATAAGCTTCATAAATGTTTTTGTAAGGTTTGGTGAGATGTACCAATGCGAAACAGAGTGCCTAAAACCAGCAAGCAATAACATGACAGTACAGAGTCCAAACGGTCCATTCCATATTGTTTTAGTTCAGTCTTAGTTAGTTAAACAGAACCACAGTGCTTGAACTTGATTCAGGATGAATGGTATCGCAATCATGATTGTGCTCGGCATTTTTTGTAATCACTTCCACATTTAAAATGCGAACTATGGCATAATTCAGTAATGAGAGATACTCTGCTTCCCGGCTGGTGTTCAGCTAAAGTCGTACGCTTGTCTATAAAGAGTCCAGTTGAAAAATGTGCTTCTGAAATTGTAGGCCCGTTGCCCAGATGTGATAAACGTCCTGCGGGGATTGCGCAGAAATTTTTCAGTCCTGTGTTTTGCCAAAGTGTAGATTTTCTGGCAAGAAAATGTCCTTCACAGCAAATTAATAATTGATGTGTAAAATGGCAGAGTTTAAATGTGCCTGTTTTCTCAATGAGATAAAGGGAGAAAATGAGGGAAAGCGATGGAGAGGTGGGTACAGAGACTCTTTGTCCATGATCCACAGAGAACTGCACAGTTCCACTGTCAATGTGCTGGAAAACTCAGTCACTCTTGCTGGGCCTCTTAGTTACGGAAAAGAAAAAGGGCAAATAAGGGCTATCATGTCTTTATTCCCCTCCTTATAAATGGAAAGTAAAATGAACATAAAATATTAAAAGGCAGGGAAAAAGGTGTCCTTAGGGTTCTCCATCGATCACTAAATGCATCATCTGAGGCATCAATATCATTGACCTGCAATTGAGTTCTTGTGTTTCTCCGTTCCCCTCCCTCTCCCCCTTTGGTACTTTATTGAGCAGAACTGAGGAAAAACAGACTGGATCTGTGACAGCACTCGAGTGCCACTGATGTGTCTTAGTCATACTTGCCTTGAGGCGTTTGACATGTCTCAACATCACACTGGAAATTGATTTCCAGTTTGCTTCCTTTTAGAATATCTTTAGTTGTCTTGAAACAGCGCTGCAAACTTTTCCTTTGAGTTGAGACAAAACCCCTCTTGTCATGGGAAGTGACTGCAGGAGACTTTCTCCTCCTTTTAAGTGCTGGAGCATTTGATCAAATCCCCACTGCTCTGGTTTGTGTTGATAACTCCGTTATCATAGCAGGTTTGTTGTGACAGCGTTTTCAACATCTGACATATCCTCTGTCAGATTATTTAAACATATTCTTCTCTTACAGAAGGACGCCCCAGTCCAGTTATCTAAGCGAAGTTATCTTTGGCTGCGTTCACATGGCAAAATGCAGTTCTCACTTTTGTTTTAGAATGCAAAACGGTTCAGAATTTCCATCCGTCCACACACTTACAGATAAATTAAATGAAACAATAACGGATGGAGGGAAAATTTTGAATTTGAAATCAAAAGAATGATGGATGGATGGATGGATGCATGGAATCTGAATTTGAAATCCATCCATTCATCCACAGATAGATAGATAGATAGATAGATAGATAGATAGATAGATAGATAGATAGATAGATAGATAGATAGATAGATCGATAGATAGATCGATAGATAGATTTATGAATGAGTGTAACTTCTTAATTTAAAATCCATTCATCTATCTTTCTTTTTGTCTGTCTGTATATCAAGGATAGCTTTGAAATTCAGTCCATCAACAGAAAGAACAATTGATGGATTGATCGACAATTTTTACATTGAAATCCATCCATCGTTTGTTCTGTCCATCTTATCTTTCATCTTATCTCTATCGCTCCATCTACCTAACCGTAAAACTTTAAGGATTTTCTAGCTTTTTCAAAACGAGTCCTCATCAAGACAGCATCCAAACTTTCTATAATCTAGCTTTTCTAGATAAAACTTATAAAACGAGCATGTTATTTTACCTCATTCTACTTGCTTTCATCCAATTTTGAATTGTAATTCTTCATCCTGTTCCTATAGGTTTTTTTTGCCGTGAAATGTGGTTTAGACTGTGTGAACGTAGCCTTTGTGAGATCTTTGGATTATAGATGTTATCCAGTCTCAGTTCCTCCTCAGATCTCTTATCTGCAGTCAGACACGATCATCTGCTTGTGATGAATGCCGGGATTAATAAACAAGGCCCGTGAGGGATAATATATTGTGTCTCTCTCTAATCTGACTAGCTTTCTCACTCTTGAAGTCTTCCAGACTGCCGGAATGTCATGCTCAAATTTATGACGTCTTAAAGACTTCAAGTGTGATTTAAGTCTCTGTACTGGCCCTCGGATCAACAATCAAACAACCAAACAGTGGATTGAGTTGGACACTCCTCTTTCTGGCTTTTTGACTGACACGGCACAATGAATCATTGTTTGACATTCTGATGGCAACATGCCTGACGATCGCCACTATCACTCAGTCCTTCTATGTATGGTTGGAATAGTGTCTGACAAATATTGTCCCATGTCCATCCGCTATTGCAGATGTTTCCAGCTTTTTATCTTGGCTGAACCTATATGTCCTAACTTGTTGATTAAAGTAATGTTACTCATCGTCGGAGTGTTTCAAACCTGCATTTTTAGGATAGTTTAAGATTCTTCTTTAAGACTCCTTTTTTTTTTCATTTAACAGACTGTCAAGCTTCACAAAGAATGAATATACACCTTAAAAGTTTCCAGAAGTTTCAGAAGACTAAGGAATATAGGAAGTTGAATGAGTTTGACATTCTTTGGCCACTGTAAAAAGCTGGTTGTATTGAAACTGCAGTTTTTGTGGAATTGAATGAGGATGAGTAAATGATAGATGCATATGTTCCATTTGGATGGTATTAGAACAATCTTTTATTTTAGTATAGCATTTGAATTTGTTTACTAACTTATAGGGGAATTTTCAGCACAGTCTTGGTTGGTAAACGGGAACATTGTAAGTTTGGGAAAATGACCAAAGACCACTATAAAACTTTGCTTTTCTTTGTATTCTCAGGTTCATACTTGTTCAAAACAAAAGACATGGGGGAGACGAAGAAAAGCAGTTTTGCATTAGCAAATATCTTATGTATGCATGGAATGATTTCTGTGCTCTAGAAAGGCTGAAAAACAACTTGTTTGTACAAAAAGAAAACTCATGTTTTGCCTACGGACATTAGCTAAGCTTGCAAAATTTCCATACAATGTATAAAGTTGTCTGTTTCAAAAGTCACCTTATAGCTGCTCTGCAATCACTTACAATCAGTGCAGGTGAGGTTCTGCTACACATTTCAATGTGTGCCGCTGATGCAATACTCTTGAGACCACTGGCATTTTCTTATCTTTTCTTCCCCCTCCCATCCAGCATTCAGAATCATTCCAGTGAGTCGACTCTTCGGCCAGTCCAGAAAGCAGATCAGATAAGGTGGAACTTACTGTTTTTCACTAAGTGCAATGGAGCTGCTGTCTGACAGAGCCTTGCTTTTCATTTTCCCTTTGTGTTCAAACTCCTTAATTGGGTCAGTCGGATTCCGGCAACCATGGCAACCTGTTAAAGGTGAGCTTAAGGGTTTATCTTTTGACAAGATGAGAGAGTTGCTTTCTCTGACATTGAGAAACGACACATTGTCAGAGTTTTGACGCTCAGCCAACTGTTTTTCTCCAGGGACTCGAACCCCTTGCTTGAGGGGAAAGAGGTCTCCAGGGGCCACATGGGTCAGGGGTTTCGTAAAGCTTTGTGGTCAGTTGCCCCAGAGTGGACATTACTGTTGTCAGTTCGTGTTAAATCACGACAGACTAAAGAGGTGTGAGAAACTGTTTTCACTTTGTGCATCAGTAGCCAAATGAATTGTGAAATCCCTCTCTCTGGAAATCAGGCTTGAAATATCTCGGTTTGGTGTGTGTGCTGGTTAATAGCACTCTTTAGGTTATTAAGGATTGCTGTTACTTCAGTCTGGATGGCTTTGAGTTTGATCGTGACCTTTTTGGTTTTGTTCTCTGACATTACACTAGCTTTCCGTACGATTTGAGAGGTTCACTTATGACCATACTGATCAGCTTGGGTGTTGTTTGGAAAAAATGGGTAATGACGGCATCTTGATTGTAAAAAGTGATTAATAGTGTTGGACTGGACTATATAGAAGTACCTGCAGGTGTCTTTGTCACTTGGGATTGATGTATTCTGGAACTAAAATTGTCTAAATAATAGGGTTTACTAAGTAAAGGCTGATTTAAATGTTGTTGTTTTTTATTTTTATAACCAATAATGATACAAATTATTTTCATGTGGAAGTATTCGATAACCAAAATGCTAACTTTTAATAGTTTGATTATCACAATCAAGAAGGGATGTGCAAATGCATTATTCACCCAAATTGTAAATTCTGTCATCATGTACTCACCCTCATGTCAAAATATCCAAAGAAGGGTTATAAGCATCATAAAAATAATCCATTGAGCAGTCTTATCCATATCCAAATCTTCTAAAGAGACACAAG